TCACACCAAAAGCAGGGAAATGTGGATGCAGCTGAGCCTAATCCAAAAAAAGTGTTTGCAAATTTCATGTCCACAGCTGCAGTAAACGTAACACTTTCAAGACAAAGCAATTCTAAAATTTGCTTCAAGTTCTCATAAGATTCTTTCACAGACTCTAGAGTTTCTTTACTCCTGAGTCACAAAAGGCTTGAGAAGATGCATCTTTTAAATAGAAAAACTTATGCTTTCTTTGTTCTTTTAGGCTATCCAACATATTTATACAAACTTTGAAAAACTTCATCAATGCCTACTTTGATTATATAATCATCTGGTGGAAGGTCTCGATGTTTAAGGATGTGTTCAACCAAACCAAAAATGTCATTTCAAAAATTAACTGAACGTTGAGCTTTTCCACTTTGTTCATCACCATTGGAAACATCAAAGTCCATTATTGTTGAATTGTAGAATAAGTCAAGTGCTTTGTATTGTTGATTTAATTTTCCAATCAAACCTGATTTAATTGATTTTTTGACCACTCCAAATTCTGAAAAAATAGCTGCTTTGTGAGTTTGTTTCAAAGAGAGACCTAAAATAGATTGCAATCTACTAACTTTCTCAACAGACACAGGGTTCAAATGGCAACGGCTCTTGATTTTTGAGACTTAAAACATTTTATGACTTTTAAATCCCTCCCTCTTATTGCTAAAATAGCAATTGAGTCTCAATCTCCAGATGCTGCAAATTTCATTTTGATCACATCAGAAGCAATAAGTTGATGACATCAGTCATCTAAATAAATTTGTTTTGTTAAAAGTAATTTTTGCTTTTTAATAAATTTTTAATCTTCAAAATGATCTAGATATTGTCTACAAATGGTCTCAAACTAGGCTTCTTCTGTTTAACATACCAAAATGTGTAGAATGTGTTAAATGTGTATCTACATAATTTAAATAGTATTTAATTAACGGAGTCAGATACAGAAAGAGATCTGGGAGTACTTTTCAATACAAACCTAAAATGGAAAAATCAAGTTATTAATGCTTCTACCAAAGCAAATCAAATGCTTGGTCCTATCAAAAAATCATTTGTTTGTTTCAATTATAAATTACTTCGTTTGCTTTATATTACTTTTGTTTGTCCATTACTGGAGTTTGCAGTTTCAGTATGGTCTCCATTTCTTAAATCGGATTGTGACTATATTGAAAGAATCAAGCACAAATCTACTAAAGTTTCATCAATCAGAAATCTTTCTAATACAAGAAGACTCGAAGAATTGAACCTAACTACACTAGTAGAAAGGAGACCAAAAGGAGGTCTAATACAAATGTATAAAATTATGAATAATATTGATAAATTAGAAAAAGGCATTCGTTTTCCAATTGTTAACAATCATACAAGAGGTCACTGCTTTAAAATTTCTAAAGAATTGACAAAACATAAGTAAAGAGAAAACTTTTTCTTTAATCGAGTAGCAAATATGTGGAACTCTCTGCCAGAAGAAATTGTTAAATCGCCTTCAGTCAACAGCTTTAAAGCAGCAATTGATTGCTGGATGAGCAGCAATTAATCATTTTGGCTGATAACACACTCACTGGCTTTTACAGCGTTCACTACTAACTAACTATATGTATGTATATATATTTATATATATATATTTATATATATATATATATATATATATATATATATATATATATATATATATATATATATATATATGTATATATATATATATAGTTCTTTTATATTTTGACATATATATATATACAAATAATGTGCCATCTACTAAAATTCATTCTCGTGTTACTCGCCATTCAATTAAGTCTCATCCTTTTTCTTTGACTGTTCCTAAGTGCTTCAAAAACTCTTATTCTTCTAGTTTTTTTCCTCGAACATCAGTTCTTTGGAATTCGCTTCCTTCATCTTGCTTTCCTGATTCATATAATTTGCAATCTTTTAAGTCATCAGTCAATCGTTATCTTGCTCTACAGATTTAGTCTTTTCTCTTCCAGTAACTTCCAACTCTTATAGTGGTTGCTTGCAGCCCTGTTGGAAGTGAAGATGTTAAAAAAAAAAAAAAAAAAAAAAAAAAAAAAATATGTATACATATATATATAGCGGTATTGGTGTAGTGGTGTAGAGTGCTCAGTTCATAAGCGTAAGGTTCCGAGTTCAATCCCCACCACGTCTCTGGTAGTACTGCACATAACTTGTTTCTCTGCGCAGTGGCTTTGTTCATCTTGTTGAGGGTTATAACCACAATTAAGTAGCCTCCTTGTCTGTCGTGGCCTTTTCGGCCTTGGAGAGCTGAAATGACAAAAAATGTATATATAAATTTATAAACAAACTAAATACAACTTTTTGTGATACTAATAGCTTCATGCCTAAAGGTAATCATCCTTGGTAATCATCCAAGTAATCAGCCTTGTAATGCAAATTTTATTAAAAAAAAAAACGTTTAAATATAAAATTAGTGTGCTCAAAAAAATGGAGTGTGCTCTGTCATCATATTAGCAAACAACAAACCTATATCTATATGAAAACTAATGAAAAGTCATAATATCTTACACTAATGATAACTTATTAAATAATTCCTTTTTTCTTATTCCAATTCCTTTCATTTATTAAATAAGAGGAAGGAATTGGTGCTTAAATTTAGGCATAAAAGCAAATTTCTTCTTTCAAAATTTGATATGGGTTAAGAGGCAACAATTTTTAAACTTTTCTTTTTGTTGTTTGCTATTATGACAATGGAGCACACTCCACTGTAGCTTTATAATTACCGTTTTTTTTTTGTTTCTTGATTTGTATTACATGCCTAATGATTGCCTTAAGGCATAAAACTAATAATATCATAAAATGTTGTATTTTCTTTGTTTATAAATCTCTCTCTTTCTTTCTTTCTCTCTCTCTCTCTCTCTCTTTCTCTCTCTCTCTCTCTCTCTCTCTCTCTCTATATATATATATATATATATATATATATATATATATATATATATATATATATATATATATATATATATATATATATATATGTAAAAATTTTAATAAAAATCACAATATTTTTTATTCTTGACATGTTTCGTAGTCTAACTACATTTTCAAAAGATTTAATTTACAATTAAAACTCTGGTAAATAGATTTAATAAATTTTAAATTTATTTGCCAGAGTTTTAATTGTAAATTAAATCTTTGAACATGTAGTAAGAATACGAAACATGTCAATAATAAAAAATATTGTGATTTTTATTAAAATTTTTACAAATTTATTGGTAATGCGATGTTTGAAAAAATGTATATATTTATATATATATATATATATATATATATATATATATATATATATATATATATATATATATATATATATATATATATATATTATATATATATGTTATATATATATATATATATATACATATATATATATATATATATATATATATATATATATATATATATATATATATATATATATATATATATATATATATATATATATATATATATATATATATATATATATATATATATATATATATATATATATATATATATATATATATATATAATATTCATTGTGCAATAAACACACTTCTATTTCTATTTATGTTATATATATATATATATATATATATATATATATATATATATATATATACATATATATATATATATATATATATATATATATATATACATATATATATATATATATATATATATATATATATATATATATATATATATATATATATATATATATATATATATATATATATATATATATATATATATATATATATATAATATTTATTGTGCATTTAACACACTTCTATTTCTATAATACAAACATATAAACAGTAAAAAATTTTAGGCTTAAAATAGTTAAAATAAAATTATATAAAGCAAAATTGATGTCTTTATTATGAAAAAAAGGAATCTCATGTAAACAACCATTTCTTTTAAGAATGTTTTCCTAATATATATGTGTATTTACTTTTTTTCATATGATCCTGTGCATAAAGAATCATGAAATACTATTAAATATGCACCACAAATTTATTGAAACTGTGAAAAGGTCTATTAAAAAAAAAATTAATTGAGTTTAGAAATTTTAGTTCATAATTTTATGAAATAACAAAGTTTTCATAATTTTTCATGTTAAATTTGTGATATTGCAATATATTACTGTGATGTGTTATTTGAATGTTAAATTTGTGATATTTCAAAATGTTATTGTGATGTGTTATTTGAATGTTAAATTTGTGATATTCTGATGTGCTATTAGGAAGTAATATTGCAATATTTTGATTGGAATGTAATAATTTTGATTGTGAATGGACCAAATAGTGACCAAACTTATGATATAGTAGTGGAAGTTCGGTCAAATTAGCTGTTCCATTTGAAACAAAATATTGAATGTTAGTTTTCAATTTTGTTTAAGTTTTCTGTTTTCAATTTTCTTTAAGTCATTTTCAATTTTAACTTTCAGTTTTCAACTTTCAACTTTCAATTTTCTTTAAGTTTTCTGTATATATCAAAAAAAAAAAAAATTAATGTTCATTTATGCCTAAGATATGAATGTTCAAAGCTTGAGTGGCCAAACTTAGGCGATTTTTTCAAAAACATAACTCAAAACCAACTTATATGTTTATATATGCCAACATTTTAGCATTTATGTCCAGTGCTCATTTACTCTTTCAGTATTGCGTAAACAATTTGTGCAATCCTTAGCAGCACAAAATGGTGATTACCAGCATTTAAAATAGATTTCATGAATAAGCTATGATTTTTTTTCTTTTCAATTTTGAAGCAGATCTGAAAAACCACGTTTGAAAAACATGTCGTTTCAAAGTAATCGTTTACTCTTACTCATGTTTTCACTAAATTTTTAAAAATTCAAATATGCAGGAAAGATATGTAAAGTTTCCCAATGGAATAAAATAGTAATAAGTTCATCACTTATGCTTTTTTATAAGTTTTCAAACATTTATTGATTGTTTTTTTAATTTTTATAGATGCTGATGAAAATTTGACATTTAGAAAAGCTGATCCAGGTTCATTACTATCTGCTGATAAATTGCAAAGCATCATGGATTTTCTTGACAACGTTGTCAAAGTAGAAGATGAAGTTAGAACTGAGGTCTTATCAGTTGTGAGTTGTTTAAAATTTAGAAGAGTTATTTTATATAAAACAATTTCATTGCTATTTTTTTTTTTTTTTTTTTTTAACTTGCATTTACTTTTATATATAAACTTCTTTGTCATTGTTGTTCGTATGTTGTCAGTATTTGTTGTTCTGTTGCTTGATGTTATCTTGTTATTATTTATTTGTAGTTTTTTGTTTTGATTTATTTTTAATAGGCAAATAGTCATTTCCGCTCACCAAGGAATTCTGATTTTTTTGAATCTGATGAGAAACCCAATAAAAGAAATGAAATAGATTCTGTTTCTTTTGTTGCTTCTGAAATAAGTGATGCAATATCTGCTCAAAAAAATGAGATTAAAGAAAAACAAAAAACTGTTGAAATGATGAAAAAAGCAATTGTAAGTTATATTTTTTATTTAATGCAAGTTAACTATCTAAAATAGAAAATAATAGTAAATGACTATCATGATTATCTTCTGAAGCATGGGACTACCCATGATTATCTTCTAAAGCATAGGAATACCCATGATTACCTTCTAAACATGAGACTATTTGTGGTGTGCAGTCAGGGCCTATAAAAATACCTTTTTTAATTCACAACACTTCCTTGGCCAAGCACTCAAATGCAGAGCATGTTACTTCACCAAGTTAACAACACTGATAAACAAGGTGATGTAATATGCTTTGCATACAAGTGTTTTCAACCATTACCTTACTTATTAATGTCATTATTGTGTTTGATAGTTTAATAATAAATAAAATTTGATAACAAATAAGTGGCGCAAAGTTGTAGACAACTATTTCGATGTTTTTTTTTTATTGTAAAAACCAGAAATAGACAAGAAATTCACCTCCTAAAGCCACAAAGGCTACTACAGTCAAGGAGGCTACATTTAGTGGTTAAAACCCTATTTTAACTCTATAGAGTTAAGAGAGGGTTGCGCAGAGAATCAAGTTGAGCGCAGTGCTACCAGGGGTGTGTAAGGGGATTGAACTCTGACTAAAGAAAAAAGAAGGTTTTAAAGAATTGACTTTTTAAACTTTCAACTAACATTGCTCTTCATATGGTGCCCCACCATTGATATTACTAAAAAAAAAAAAAAAAATATATATATATATATATATATATATATATATATATATATATATATATATATATGTATGTATATATATATATATATATATATATATATATATATATATATATATATATATATATATATATGTATATATATATATATATATATATATATATATATATATATATATATATATATATATATATATATATATATACATATATATATATATATATATATATATATATATATATATATATATATATATATATATATATGTATGTATGTATGTATGTATGTATGTATGTATATATATATATATATATATGTATGTATGTATGTATTTATATATATATATATATATATATATATATATATTGGGGTGTTTCAAAAAATTGACTTTTTAAAATTTCAACTAACATTGCTCTTCATATGGTGCCCCACCATTGATATTACTAAAAAAAAAAAAATTTCATCACATTTGGATCACCCTATCAGTCCGCGCAATAGGCCCAAAAAACAATTTTAGGGCATTTTTGACCCTTTTTTTATTCAAATTGTGAGGACTCTTCCCATGGTTCAATTTTGAAAAAATAAATTTGTTTAGGCAATTTTATGCATAAGAATTAAATTAAAATTCAATGTTAAGCGTTATTTGTTTGCATAATGGGTCAATTAAATAACTATATTTAACGAAAATGTTGAATTTTTACATTTTTTTGCTCTTTGATAAGGTGTCAAAACCAGCTACAGAATTGTCTAAAAAAAGTCAGTGTATGGTTTTTCCTCTTTAATATGACCATATAGGTTTTCTTTCTTTAATATGACCATATAGGTTGTCTTTCTTTAATACTTGATGTTTAGCAATGTTATTATAACTATATTTTCAGTAAATATCTATACTTTATATCTGTATACATATTTTTTCAGATAGTTAAAAAAAAAAAAAAATGCCTTCAAAGAAAAAGATAAAATGTACTAGAAACATGTCAGAAATATTTCTTGTGAAGAAAACTAGAGAGATTCTCCCAAGCAATAAGCTTCCAAATGGCAAAGATCTTCTGCAGTACTACCTATATTTTTAAAAGCTAAATCCAAACTCTAAGCAAATAGATTTAACTTCTTGGCCAATTTGAAATTACGAACAAGTTTCATGGATGTGTTTTTGATACTACTAATTCTAACACTGGTAAACAGAAAGGAGTAGGCATTAAAATAGCTAAAGAGGTTGATAAGCCTTTACTTCTATTAGCATACAGACATCATGTGTATGAAAGACACATTGTTTATTGTTGGAACATCTATCACAGCAGTAACACAAATGGACCAGACAATCCTCTTTTTAAAAAGCTTAAGCTTGTTTGGAACTCTTTGGATCATGATTCTACTGTACTAAACAGAATCAAGATTGAGGATATTATTGACAACTGGTTGCAAGATCAATTCAAGAAAGCCTTGGAGATCTCCGAAAACATTATAAAGATGGAAAAGATGAAGAAGGTCATTACTTTAAATTATCAAATGTTGTTTAAATTAGTTTAAACAGCTTTCAAATAAATAAAAGTCCATTATCCTGTAAATCGCAACTTAGAATAATTATAACTTATTTAATGTGCAGAGCTCCTGGCGCTTTGCACAATAAACAAATGATTAATATCAGATATTAAAATTAAAAATGTAAAGAATGAATCTTAATTTTTTATGGCTTTGTTAAATGTTGCAAAAAGTCAAAACGCAATGTAAAAATTCAATTTTAATTGCTTATTGTAAAAATAAGTGTTTATTTTTAGTATTTATTGTATTTATTTAAGTATTTAGAATGGATGCAGGTGTGATTATCTAGAGTTAGCCGAACTCACAGTAATGGTACTATCTGGAGATGTGCATAACAGACTCTGAAAACCAGAACCTGTAAGTCATGCTCCATTTTTGATGAAAGGAATATACTTTATGAAGATGTTCCTTCTAATGAATAACATTCCCAAACCCCATGAGAAGAACGAAAATCAAAGATATGGCTTTCTTCACTGCAGTGTTTTACACTGAATGGTTTCTCAGAGCAGGAATTCCAGCAATTGCTCCCTCTCAGTTTTTTTTTTACTTTAATTTTTATACTCTTATTATTTAAAATGTAGTAAAGTTTAAATAAAAGTTATTCTTTTTAGTATTTTGCTATCTAAAGGTTATTTTTAGGATATGAAAGCGCTGTGGTAGATGATAAGGTACTCTGATGTCAAACCTGAGCTGGAAAAACCTGTTATTGACTCAATGAAGAGACACACCTGGTACATTGATCCTACCGCTGTTTTAATGGCTTTGGCTGATGAAGAGGTCCATGACCGTGACAAGATTGCTAAGAAGCTGTATTCTATGTCAATGCTTGAGAATTATGTTGTACATAGACAGCAGGTAGATTTTGAATTGTTGAAGAATCTGGATTTTTTTCAGGATAATACTCCTAGCTTGATTTCACTGATAAATGAACAGAGTTGGTTAATATTTCATCTCTTGAACTAGGGAAGGCAGAATTGCAGTGGTTAAAAACCCCAGTTGAGACATGGAACCTGAATGATTATTATCTGGAGTTTAAACAACTTGTCAAAAATCTGGAAGTAGTTAATGATTGCAGTGAGAAAGCTGTGAAAATTGTTTAGGTACAATTTAAAAAAATTATTAAGTTTAAACCTATTGTAGAAAATATTAAGGTAATTTCAACAAACATATTTTATTTTTAACTAGGAACTGATCAACAAATCCCACAAAAAGAAGAAGAGACTGGACACTTTCCTTGTAGCTAACAAGTTCAAGAGTGGAAGAAAGAGAAAGAAGAAAACTTTTTCTTTTTGAGTACTTGTGCTGAAACTTTTTTTTTATGCTCTGGCATTATTAAAAGATAACAAATGCTGCTAAACGTCATATATTGAGATAGACAACCTAATATAGTCACATAAAAGAAGACACAAAACTATCTAATTTTTTTAGACATTTCTGTAGCTGCTTTACATATTACATTCTGATTTGAAACACCAAAGGCACTGAAACAGACCTTATCGAAGTGCAACAAAATGCTAAAAATCAACATTTTCGTTAAATATAGTTATTTAATTGACCAATTATGCAAACAAATAAAGCTTAACATTGAATTTTAATTTAACTCTTATGCATAAAATTGCCTAAACAAATTTAATTTTTTTAAATTGAACCATGGGAAGAGTCCTCACAATTGAATGAAAAAAGGGTCTAAAACGCCCTAAAATTGATGTTTGGGCCTATTGCGCAGACTGATAGGGGGATCCAAATGTGATGATTTTTTTTTTTAGTAATAATAATGGTGGGGCACCATATGAAAAGCAATGTTGAAATTTTAAAAAGTCATTTTTTTGAAATACCCTTATATATATATATATATATATATATATATATATATATATATATATATATATATATATATATATATATATATATATATATATATATGTATATGTATGGATATAAATATACATATATATATATATATATATATATATATATATATATATATATATATATATATATATATATATATATATATATATATATATATATATATATATATATATATATATATATATATATATATATATATATATATATATATATATATATATATATATATATTATAGAATCAACAGAAAGAGTTTTCTTCTGTCCAAATAATAGAAATGGAAAAGGAACACAAGCAACAGCTGTCCTTACAAAGGAGTGAGTATGAAGCTACTATTCAACGCCATCTGTCGTTTATTGATCAGTTGATAGATGATAAGAAAGTTCTTACCCAAAGATGTGAAGATCTTGTTTCTAAATTGAAGGAAATGGATCAAAAGTTTTCTACCAAAATTAAACAAATGACTGAAAGGCTAGTATTGTTCAAGATTTTTTTAATATATATATACATATATATATATATATATATATATATATATATATATATATATATATATATATATATATATATATATATATATATATATATATATATACATATATATACATATACATATATATATATATATATATATATATATATATATATATATATATATATATATATATATATATATATATATATATATATATATATATATACATTTATATATATATATATATATATATCTATATATATATATATATATATATATATATATATATATATATCTATATATATATATACATGTATATATATATATATATATATATATATATATGTATATATATATATATATATGTATATATATATATATATATATATATGTATATATATATATATATGTATATATATATATATATGTATATATATATATATATATATATATATACATATATATATATATATGTATATATATATATATATGTATATATATATATATATATATATATATATATATATATATACATATATATATATATATATATATATATATATATATATATATATATATATATATATATATATATATATATATATATATATATATATATATAATAAACATATTTGTTATATTTTGTTATATTAAGGAAAGTATTTTTTTCAAGAGACATTGTAAGCAGTGCTCGAGAAAAAAAGTAGCAAATAAATACAATACTAAAGAGCAAATAAACATTAAAATAATAATAAAATAATTACAATTAAATTTAAAACATATTTTGGAGTTTAACACTTTTTGCAATCATCAGGCATTACAAACAACCTTAATGACAAGAAAAATTGTATACAAAAATACAACTCAGTGTTAGCTTAGATTTCACTAAAGTTGTAGATAACAAATTTGTTTTCATGGCAGCATTTTGATACTAGTTCATTTCATTTATTCATTAGTTTCAAAGGTGATGTAATGATATGGTATTTTTTGGTTAAACAAAGATTATGCAATTTTTCCTAAATTTAAATGACTCCGTTAATAATCTTCCATGTAAAAATAGGATTTGAATATCCTTTTGCATTTGATTTCAGATATATTTAGAAAGTTCTGTAGAATTTTGATTAACAAGATTAAAAGTGTATATTTATGTATATATATATATATATATATATATATATATATATATATATATATATATATATATATATATATATATATATATATATATATATATATATATATATATTTATATTAGACATCCTATACTTTTTAACTATTTAAAAGATAAGAAACATTAAAAAAAAGACTATTGTCAGAGGCAGGTAACATTTTTGATGAAAAAAGAGCTTGTTTGTTGCTTAAAACTGACTATTTCTAGAAACTAGACTATTTCTAAAATTTTAGAAAAAAAATTAGGCAAAGCTACAGATATGCCTAATTTTAATTCTAAAATAATTTTATTTTATCACTTGTTGCGCTTTCTTATGAAGATTTGCTCAAAGTGGTGACTATTCAATATAAACATAAAGAATATTTATTGGCTTTAGTGCATACATCTTACAGCCTGCTGCTACAAGGGAGTGGTGCTACATTGACTGAGGATTTGACATAGGGCAGCAATCTTTTTTCTTTTATTATTTCAATTAAAATTTCTGTTTAAAAACTCCACTAACAAGAGCGCAACAAGCGAAAAAATAAAATTAATTTAGAGTGTTAAACTATAGCTTCACCTAAAATTTCATTATATTTGTTAAGAATTTTTTATTTTTTACCTAGGTTTATCTATATTTCTTCATTGCCCTGTAAAACAATGATTTTTTGCTTTAATTTATACAGTCTGTGTCACATTTCTTAAATAAATAAAGTAAAATAAGAACCTACTTTCTTTTTTTTTCTATGAATTCTTCAGGTTTTTCACATAATCTATTGTGAAGACATGCATGCGCAAGTCAAATATGTTTAAAATGCTAAAATTATTGCTCCTCCACGTCCACGTTTTAATTTATCTAATATTATTGACATTTGTTTTTTAACAGATTTTAAAATATCAATATCAGGAAAAGATGCCTAAAACTGGTTAGGAATTGTTTTGCAAATTGTTTGGCTTAGCCAATTCAATAAAAATATTCTTCCTACACAAGTAGATCTTATGAATTTTTTTTTTTTTTTTTCCAGACTGGTATTAAAAGAGAATGTTAATGGAAAGGATCCTTCTGTGATTGCGAATTTTGACAATGAAACGAAGAGTATAAGTCTATTTTAAAAAAATCTTCATAAGTTACAAGACAAGGCGACAATATTTGGACAAAAAATGTGAAATAACTCTGTTTGATATATGTATTTGCAAATGTAAAAATTTTATTGACTGTTATTGCAAAATTAAAGTTCCTATTAGGGAAAGATATTTTCTTGTCGATCAACAAACAGTATAAAAAATGTTAATTGGTAATGTTGATAAAAAAGTAACTCGACTTCTTCATAAAAATATGAAAAGGAAAGCAATACAATCATCACAACTGAAAAACATTTTTTATGCAGACAGTATAGTTGGAAAAAGTAAAAAAATATTTCCTTTTCAATCTACATGTGAAATAGAAATTGGAGAAGCGACGTCTTTTGTAAAGATAATTTATCTGAAGAATTTCAGATAATTTATCTGAACTTCAGATAATTTATCTGAAAAATTGTTTGGAATTAAAACTTCTGATCCCAACACATCATCAGAATCTTACTATACTTGCCCTTCTGCAAAAAAATTGAAATTGTGTAATCTAGCTCTAGCATGTGGTCGAATTGGTGCTCCAGATCAATCTTCTTCATTATTAGTTAATGCTTTTCTAAAGGATTTTCAAATCTTAACAAAAAAAAAATTCATCAAAAATAATTGATCAAAGTAAAATAAAAAGAGAACAACAACAAAAAAAAATATCAGAACTTCAAAAATGTGCAAGAAAAGATTTTTTTGAAGTTCAAGGACTATTTTTTGATGGAAAGAAAGATGTAACAATTCAGCAGGATAAAGAAAGATGTAACAATTCAGCAGGATAAAGAAAGATGTAACAATTACGCAGGATTAAGAAAGATGTAATAATTCAGCAGGATAAAGAAAGATGTAACAATTCAGCAGGATCAAGATGTAACAATTCAGCAGGATAAAGAAAGATGTAACAATTCAGCAGGATAAAGAAGGATGTAACAATTCAGCAGGATAAAGAAAGATGTAATAATTCAGCAGGATAAAGAAGGATGTAACAATTCAGCAGGATAAAAAAAGATGTAATAATTCAGCAGGATAAAGAAGGATGTAACAGGATAAAAAAGGGGCAAAGTATTAAGTCTAAAAATATGTTACAGCGGAATATATGTAATATAATAATGTTCTAGTTTCTGAACCTGGATTAAAATATTTGTATCATGTAACGCCATTATCAGAAACTGAACTGGGTATTGCATCAAGCATTCAAACACTTTTAGAGGATTCAAATAAATTTATATTAGAACAGGTAAAGGCTGTTGAATGTGATAGTACCATCACAAATACAGGATGGAAAAACAATGTTATAAGTTATATTAGAATTATTCCTTGGCCGTCCTGTACAGTGGCTTATTTGCTTACTACACACTAATGAGTTGCCTTTTCGCTATCTAATACAACACTTAGATAGAAAACGAATAATCCTACAGGATTCAAAGGTACAATTGGAAAAATATTAAAAAATTGTGAGAAACTTTCAGATGTTTCTTTACAACCTATTGAAGTGGAACTCCCAAAAATTGATGCAAAGTAGTTAATTACTGATCAGAAATCTTTTTGACATTTGTAATGGAATTTCAAAAGGTAATATATTAATGTTTTTGTAATTGCGAGATCTTGGAAAAATTTCACATTCATGTTGGTTAACAACAACCAATTTTTAAGGTTATATGTTTCAACATTAGATCCATCTATAGATCTGAATACTTTAACTATGTGATTAAAATATACTTTGCTAGCTAGTTTGAGATAAAAATGAAACCAACCTGTTTGTATGGATCCAATAATTTCTTTGGAATGATTAAAAGTTCTTGTTACTTATCTGATGAACTTAAGAATATTGTTGATCCAGTATTTCAAAGAAATGCATATTTCTGTCATCCAGAAAATTTTTTTTAGCTATACTAGTGGATGAAAGAATGCACAATAGAGAATTAGCTTTAAAGCGAATTATCATATATAGAGAATCAAATGATAAGCAGAGGACTATTCGACCATTTAAAGTGTCAAATCTAAATTTTAATGCTGAAGATTACATAGATATGATTAGTTGGCAATATGTTAATGTTACTGAGCCTCCTTTAACAAGACACATTTCAATTGATAATTTAAAAAAAATGATTTTCTTCATTTCTGATACGATTAGTATTGAAAAAATATCTTGCCATGCTCAAGCAGTTGAGCGATGTATAAAACATTTATCAAATACCTCTACATCAGTTTATGGAAATAAATCAAAAGATATAGTCATCCAAGCTGAGCTTACATTTCAGTGTGAATTACTAAAAAACATTTCATGAATTCCATAAAATAAATATAAATTCTGCCTAAATAATTTTTAAAAGAAATTTTTTAATTTTAATTTAAAACTTTATTTATAGTTGATTGCATTTAGTTTATAAATAAATTAATTAAAATCAATACAATAACCTGTATAGACAATACAAACAAAAGAAATGTTTTACTTAACATTTTTTCTATTTTTATTTTCTTTTTTTTGTTTTGCCCAGGGTTCCAATTTTACATTGTTCTTTGTAATGAGTCTGCCATCACTATAAGATCTATGGCCTAGTTACCTAATTACTATAACAAAGTAAAGGAATTTAATGACTATATGGGAACCACAGTTTTGTTTGGTTTTTAAATAAAAAAAGTTCTTAATAAAACTTAAAACTTGTAGGTTTTTTATGGGGCTGTAGTTGCGCTGTTTGAAACTCTGTTAGTGATTGGACAAAATATTTTATTTTATTTTTATTGGTAGGAATATCTAAAAAAAAAAATTAATAATAAAAAAAAATTAAAAACAAACAATTTTAAATTTGGCCAAAGTTATATTCTTCTGCTGTCAAAGTAAAACATTCAATTCTGCTCACAATTTTTGTATTATTACATCCAATTTTACCCACAAATTCTTAATAATCAACAAAATTAAACTTATTTCATTTTATGTCAACATTTTTCAAAAATAAATGTAAAAATATAAAAAGTAGCAATTACAAAAGGAAAGCCTTAAAATATTGCCGAAAGCAAGAACTAACAAGCATAAATTAGATGGTGAGTGGATCAATAGATCCACTCACCATCCAATAGATCCACTCACCAATACCTTAATCGTATTTAAGTTTTAATAAATGCTCTGTTTTAGGTTTAAATTTTTCATCAGTTTCTTTTTTTACTTGATATATTTGCTGTAATTAAAGCTGTATAATAAATATGTCATTGCTATGAGCAATACGTGAGCGTTTCCTTAGCAACATAAGTCATGAAAGGAAATACCATTGTTAACAAATTTTTCTCTCATTTTTTGTCTTTTTTTGTAAAAAATAATGTTTATTTCGTGTTCTATAATAAATTTTACATTTAAAAGTCACTTCTGAGAAATTAAATAGTACCAAACAATATTAAACTAGGAAAAATATGAAAATTAAATATATTTTTCTAAGATTCAATCCTCTGGTGGAACCTGAAGAAGCGATGAAAACTAGAAGAAAAAATTTACTTTCCTATTCTTAATAATATGCAAAGATTGGCACCTCAGGCAATTTGAATTTAAACTTTTTTTTTTGCTATTAAAATCGCTCCACCTTAATAAATATGCAGGGGCTATTCTAGGAAAAATATTTGGGTGGCGACCTTAAAATATTAGAGGTCAGCTGAAGGTCAGCAAAAAAATTTGACAAAAAGGTTTTACCATAAAACTTAGAAGTGAGATCAGCAATTTTTTGCTGATCTCAAACAATTTTAGGTTGGGAGTTAGGTATTATACTTTATTTAGACTTATCCGACAACTTTACCATGGTAACGACCCTTAGCATTACAGACCTATGTTTAAAATTGATCTCTCCCTTGATATTGATTTAAGTTTATTAAATGTGATTAATAGAGGCAAATCTGCCAAGGGAATACAACAATAACTTATCAGGTCGAAATAATAACTTTGTCTATTAACTTTATTATATATAGGGTATTTATGTATATATATATATATATATATATATATATATATATATATATATATATATATATATATATATATATATATATATATATATATATATATATATATATATATATATATATATATATATATATATATTTTTCACAACTATAAGTTTCATGCTAAATGCAATCATCAGGTGCACATCATCATATAAGTTTTATGCTAAATGCAATCATCAGGTGCAACAGCTCTGTTTTAATTTAAATCATTTTAATTTACTTTAATTTATCGAGCACTCTTGCGAAGATATATGCAAGCACTAATTCGTATACATATATATATATATATATATATATATATATATATATATATATATATATATATATATATATATATATATATATATATATATATATATATATATATATATATCAGGGCTCGAATTATAGCGTATCACTATCGCGATTCACGATTACTTTTCGCACCTTCGTGATTAGTTTTTTATTAAAATTTGTTTTTTCACGATTATTCTTTTATCATTTTAGAAAAATCTAATTTTAGATAATTAATATTAATCGCGAATATTTAGCGTTCTTTTACAGTATAAAACTGCAGTGACTTCTCTAACAATAAATTTTTTTAAAAGCTGAGCATAGAGTAAAAGAAAGAAAAATAAAATATTTAGAAAATCAATTAGCAAAAATGTATTAGTAAAAATGTAAAAAAAATACTTTTTCGAATCAAGTAATAAAAGATTTTGATTAAAAAAAGAAATAAAAGTTAATTGATTGAAAAGTCATTTTCTTAACTCGAATTCTCAAGGGCTTTATTCTGATTTTGCTCATTCATTATGAACAAATTTAATGATATTTTTATAAGTTTAATTTGCGAAGAATTGTGGAAGGCAATACAGACTCTATACTAGTTATTAAAAAAAAACTCTCTAAAGTTTGTTAGTATACTTGCTAACTTTAAATTAATAGCAATAAATGGATGCAAATAAGGACCACAGACGCAGGTTATCTACAGTTAAAAAGTGGGAAAAACTTTTGAATTGCGAGTTAGAATACCATTTAAATGGAGATGAAGTTATAAGATTAAGATGCAGTTTATGTAAAAAATTTGAAAAACAGATAAGTCAAAAAAAATTGTTTTCTATGACCTGAATCAAACCAGGAACAATATCAATAAAAAAAGACTCACTGGCAGCGCACTTAAGTAGTGCGCAACATAAATAGTCCACGCGAATTCATCAACAAACAACATTAGGTTCAGTTTCATTATTTAACCATGTTATTCGTAATACTCCTATCGGGCGTGGTTTACATAAAATGGCCATAAAAGACGCTGACTTGTTACGGAAAAAGTTTAATATTGCATATTACTTGGCAAAATGAGAGCGTCCATTCACAGATTATCCTTATTTGATTGCATTAGAAAAGACTAATGGGGTTACAAATTTAGGAAATTCTAATGGCACTGACCGTGCAGCTGCAATATTTACAGATTACATTGGCACCGTAATTAAAAACAAATTAACTGAATGTTTAAAAAATTGTAGATTTTACTGTGTTTTCTGTTATAGAAGCACAGATTCAGCTGTATCGGAACAGGAATTGATTTACATTCTTTATTTAAAAGACGGAAGTCCGAAAGTAGAATTCTTATCTATTGAAATGGCAGAGAATTATAATGCTGTTGGCCTGAAAAAATGTATAACAGACGCTTTTACAAAAGTTGGCATTACCAATTGTTATAAACATCTATTGGGTGTAAATTTTGATAGCTAACGTTAATCTAGGAGCTTATGCTGGTTTAGGTGCATTACTAAAGGAAGGTTCTTCTTGGCTGGAAGTTGTACACTGTTTTAACCATCGACTTGAACTTGCTTTAAAAGATGCGTTTGAAAGTTTATCTGCCTTCAAAACTGTTGACGAACTCTTTTTACAACTTTATTACTTGTATCAAAAGTCACCAAAGCGCTACCGAGAACTACAAAGATTAGCCGAAGCTTGGGGTAATAGCGTTCCGAAACCAACAAATGCATGCGGAACTCGGTGGATTGATCACAAATATAAAGCAATAAAAATTGCTTTAGAAAATTATAGTGTGTTTATGACACATATTGAAAAATTCTAAGCATTAAACTAGTGAAATTATTACAAAACGATAAAAATATTTACGATTACGTTTTAATACTTTTTCTATTAACAATCAAAAAAAGTATTAGGTCATAAAAGATTCTATTATTTAGACACATTTTTTTCTTTCGCTTTATTTTATTGAATGAAAAAATCGAACGGTAACTTTTATTAAAAAATGCATTGAATGAAAAAGCAATAGATAAAAATATCATCGGTATTTGATAAGGTTACTTAGATAAGAAAACTGACTTAATAAGAATTTAATTATCATTCTTGTTTGTTGCGCAGGTTTTTGTCAAAATGTTAAGTTTTAACATTTTATCACAATAATGTTTTTCGTTATTTTTAATAGTTTTTTATAACTGTTTCAAAATTAGAGAATTTTTTTTTTACTGTTAAAAATTTATAGAAAATTAAATATTCTAGTTGTTTTAAACAGTTTAAAATATATAAATAAAATAGAAGATGAAATAATTAATTAAAAGAAGGTTAGGAATATTAAGTTCATTGATTTTACAAAAATACAGCCGTTAGATTTAATGCAATATGATAATAGTAATAATGTAAACTATAACTAAAGCTATTTTACAACCACTAACTGTAAATGTTGTGACATCTTATGCAAAAATGAGACTTATCATGTATGTTAATATAAATAAGTTAAAATAAATAATGCCCTCCCCCCCCACGGGGAAGGAGGGGGAAGGAGTTATGAGCAACAAAAAAATTGCGATTAGATTTTTTTACGATAATTCAAGCCCTGTTTATATATCAACTATTGGAATTATTAAATATGAGGTCAATGAATTTTTGCCAAAGTGGCAATCAATTTGCTGAATAAAAGAAAAGTCAAAGTGGCAATCCATTGCTGATTTCAAACTGTTAGAGGTCAGCATCAGGTTGGCAAAAAAGTTTTACACTAAAGGGGTTACCATAAAACATAAAAACGAGGTCGGCAATTTTTTGCTGACCTCAAGCACATATGTTATATATATATGTTATAAATATATATATATATATATATATATATATATATATATATATATATATATATATATATATATATATATATATATAACATATATATATATATATATATATATATATATATTATATATATATATATATATATATATATATATATATATATATATATATATATATATATATATTTATATATATATATTTATATATATATATATATATATATATATATATATATTTATTTCAAAACAAAACTTAAAAATGTTTATATATATATATATATATATATATATATATATATATATATATATATATATATATATAAACATTTTTAAGTTTTGTTTTAAAATAATTTTTTACTTTTTCTCTTTTTTTTTTTTTTTTTTTTTCTTATTTTAATAATATATAAGTACATTAATAAAACGCACAATTCTTTATTTATTTGCAGTCATGCTCTAGATTTAAAGAAACAAAAAGATATAAATGAAGCTGCTGAGAAAATTCGTAGAGAGAAATGGATCAAAGAAAAAACACAAGAAATTAAAGAGCTAACTGTTAAAGGTTTGGAACCAGAAATTCAACGACTAATCACAAAGCACAAAGCTGAAATAAAAGCAATTAAAAATGCTAACCAGGTATGTTAAAATTTCTAACCAAGTTGTTATTTTCTTATAAACATGCTGCATTCCATTTGTATATTTTATGTTTAGTTTTTAAAATAATAAAACGTTTAAATTCCATTTTTATTATTTTAAGTTTTATATTTAAATGTTTTAATACTACTTATACTAACTGTTATCTGATAATATGAATACGCTAATTTAATATTATTATTATTAGTCGAGTTACGTCATTTTCTAGGCTTTTCTATTTTAAAGTAGTTTCTAGGCTTTTCTATAGGTGGGTTTTTTTTTTAATTTTATTTACTAACAACGCATATTACGGGTTGCTTACTGCTAGTTATTATTAATTATATTAATTATTATTAATTATATTAATTATTATTAATTGTATTAATTATTACTCTTAATGGTTTTATAATTTTGCATAAAAAAAAGTTCAAAAGTTTATTTCTTTTATGTATGTTTTTGTATTATATTAACATAAATTATATTAATACTAATAATATTAAGGTTTTTAATGTCATTGTTTGTAGCAATGTTTATATTTATATATATTGAAACTGTTCAGATTTTAAACTTTTAGACAGAAGTTATGAATGCTGATGAACGAGTGGCTCAAAAATATATGCAGCAGCTGGATGATTTAAGGGCACAATATGAAATAGATAAGGAGACTGCAGTTCGAAAAGAAAGGGAAAGCTGCAGAGAGCGGTAATTTTATATTTTTAATTTTTATATTTTTAATTTTTATATTAAGTATTTTTAATCTTTTAAGATTTTATTCTAAGATAAAGATTTTCTTGCTTTATTTTTCAAATTCTAAAAAAATAGCGTCACATTTTTGTTTTACAAAGCAGAAGATGTGGTAAAAGGTTGAAGAAGATGAGCAGAAAAAAAATTTTTACATAGTTTTTTATTTGTTTTCATCTTATTTCAGACTTGAACAACAAATTCAAGAGGAAGAAAACTCATTTCAACAACAACGTCGACGCTTGTATTCTGAAATAGAAGAAGAAAAGCAGCGAGTTAGTGACCTGCTTCAAACAGCAAAAAAAGAATTTGATGAGAGAAGAACTGAATATGAAAACACATCCAAGCAAATATTGGCATCTTTACAAGAGGATTTAAAAAAGCAACTTCATGAAATGCAAGAAAACTGCCAAGTAATTTAAATACTTTGATATTAATAAACAAATGTAATAACATCATATAACTTATTTGAAAAATAATACTTACTGTAAGAATTATTTGAGCTTGTTCGTTGTTCAATATTGTTGTTGTTGGTGATTTTAATGCCCATCACACTGAATGGCTTGGCTCTAAGACCACTGATCCTGCTGGCACTAAAGCCTTTAACTTCTGCGTTTCTCAATCTCTTACTCAGATAGTTAACTTTGTGACTCGTTTTCCTGACAACCCTAATCATTTACCTTCACTCCTTGACTTATGTCTTGTCTCTGACCCTAGCTTATGTTCAGTTTCTCCCTTTTCTCCTTTAGGTGGTTCTGACCATGCAATGATCTCTATAAATCTTTCTTCTCGTGCTTCTTTTTTGGGCTCACCTTATCATCGCACCACCTACTACTACCCTAAAGCTGACTGGGATTCCTTTCGTGATTTTCTTCGTAATCTCTCAGCTGACAAATGCACCTCCTACATAACCTCCTGGATTCAGGCTGGAATGGAAGCTTTTATTCCTTCGCGTCGGTTTCAAGTCAAGCCTCATTCTACACCATGGTTTTCTCCTTCTTGTGCGGCTGCTATATCTAATCGTAATCATTTTTTTCATCTTTTTCAAAAGAACAACTCTCTTGAGAACAAACGGCTATTTATTATTGCAAGAAATCAATGTAAAAAGGTGCTTTCTGATGCTAAACTCCATTATTCTCAGTTCACTAAATCTCGCATCTTATCGCAGAAGTTAGGCTCTAAAGACTTTTGGAAAATCTTCAACAGCATTATTAACAAGGGTAGATCTAACATTCCATCTCTCATTCATGGGACTGATCTTATTACCTCTCCCAAGGATAAGGTAGAACTATTTGCAAAGAACTTTTCTTATAATTCCACTCTTGAATCTTATGGACATTCTCTTCCTTGCATTCCAGTCAAACAGGTTGACCCATTGTTAGACATTCAAATCACTCCGGCTTCTGTTGCTAAAGTCATATCTCAATTAAACTCGTCTACAGCTTGTGGTCCAGACAACATTCCTGTCACAGTCTTGCAGAATTGTTCTCCAGAACTTTCTTCAATTCTCCCTAAACTATTTAACAAGTTATTGACTGAGTCTTGTTTTCCTGCTTGTTGGAAAATGGCATCTGTAGTTCCAATATTCAAAAACTCTGGAGAAAATTCTGACCCCTCCAATTATTGTCCGATCAGATATCCTCCTATTTACTTTCATGGAAACCATATATACAATCGATTGCTAAATTAGCTTCTGCTAAGGTTGCTTCTCTTTATCGTGCTCGTCATTTCCTTACTTCTGATTCCATTCTCTACCTCTACAAATCTCTTATTCGTCCCTGTATGGAATACTGTTGTCATATTTGGGCTGGTTCTTCTAACGATTCTCTTTCTCTTCTTGACAAGGTCGAAAATTGCATTGTAAATGTTGTTGGACCTGGACTGTCTGCTAAGCTTGAACCTCTTTCCCATTGTCGTAAAGTTGCATCTCTTTCTCTTTTCTACAAATACTATCATGGTCACTGCTCAAAGGAGTTATCTCCTCTAGTTCCATCAACTAAAATTCATTCTTGTTTTACTCGTCATTCAGCTAAGTCTCATTCGTTTACTGTATCTGTCCCTGCATGCTCTAAAAACTTTTATTCATCTAGTTTTTTTCCCTGCACTTCAATCCTTTGGAACTCTTTCCCATCTTCATGTTTTCCTGACTCATACAACCTTCAACTTTTCAAGTCTTCTATCAATTGTTTCCTTGCTCTATAACTCTGTTCTTTTTTTTCCTAGTAACTCCCAACTTAATAGTGGTTGCTTGCAGCCTTGTTGGGAGTGAATGCAAATAAAAAAAAAAAATTAGGAAGAGATAGTTTAAGGCAGATAGCTAGCTTTTATTTGATTTTTAAACATTTTATATTGAAAAGCAAATAAAGAAGCTTTGCAAAGTTTGTTTTTCTTCTAATAATATTTTTGTTTACAGAATGAGATGCGCAATTATAAAGAGCAATTAGAAATTGAAAAACAACAATGGGTTGAAAATTTTATGAAAAAGCAAGAGACCCACCTTCTATCAAAAGAACGAGAATTAAAAGATAAAGTAAAGGTGGCAAGAGATCAAGAAATTGAGATGGTCATTGATAAGTTAGAAAGAGAAACTGCACAAAGCAGAGAAGATGCTGAACGTGCTGCTGAAAACAGAATCAAGTAAGACATTAAACCTCTTTCAAAATCATACAAAATAACTTTTTTAAAGTTACATACTTAAAACAATAAAAACACTTAAAACAATAAATAAGCAATAGCATACAAAAAAAATGACATCAACAAACAATAAACACAAACAAATCATAGCAACAATATGCGTAATTAACATGCAAACAAGCAACAACAGTTATGTCAACAAACAAGAATGTAAAATTAAATAATTTTATTTTTGTTTTTTATATATGTGTGTGAGTGTGTCTATATATATATATATATATATATATATATATATATATATATATATATATATATATATATATACATATATATATATATATATATATATATATATATATATATATATATATATATATATATATATATATATATATATATATATCAAGTCTTCTCAGGAGGCACATGCTGTCGCATGCCTTATATGACTATGCTTATAATATTTTATTTTAACAACATAGCCACAGCTTCTTGCATGTTTTAAGTTGGCATGTTTTAAAAATGCACTGAATAAACAAATGTAAGTTTATGCTAAATTTAAAAATAAACAAACTATAATAAACTATAATAAATATATTAAACAAAACATAACTGGAAAGAGAAATAAAAACTAAAAAATAACTAATCTATTAAATTAAAAGAATAAAAATGAATGATAAAATGAATAAACCAGAAAAAATAAAGGTTTAAAATTAATATATATTTTTATTTTATTTATTAAAATAAAAATATATGTTAAAAGTATTTCACTATTTTTAAAAATTTTAAAAAAATCAAAGTTTCAAAGTTATTTAATCCAAGCTTAATTACTCAAATCTTTATCATTGTAAAATTTGAAGCGTTTATCTTTTCTAATGTCCACAATCCAGATAAAACATAAAAGAATAAATTTTCTGTTAGTAGAATTTGCATCCCTGTCGATATAACAGTCGCACCTCAAATAACACATTTAATCAACCACAGTGCTACATCAACGTGATGATAAAAGAAAAGTTCTTCAAACTATTAATTGAAAGCTTTTAAATAATTTAAGTTTGAACTATTAACTGAGATGCTTTTAAATTAAATTATTTAAGTTTGAACTATTAATTGAGATGCTTCTAAATGAAAAATAAATTGGTTTTATGATTTTATTTTCTCTAGTTTTTCCTTTATTTATTTTGTCATTCGTTAAGTTGGTTTCACTTTTTAGTTGATGGTTTTTTTATTTTTATTTTGGCTTTTTAAGCATATTTTTAAAAAAATGCAAATTATTGCTATGTGAAAAAAAAATGTTGCCCAAGTTGTCTAATGAAAAATATTGTATGCGGTACCCGCTATGCTGGCACCTGCCATAAGGAAATATGCTTTATGTAGGTTTTTTTTTGGGCAAAAAAAAAAAAGAAGTCCTCAATTTCAAAATTTGATTTTGGGTGGCGGCTAAATACACTCAGCGCTGTTGAAAACAGTCTAGAATAGCCCCTGATATATATATATATATATATATATATATATATATATATATATATATATATATATATATATATACATATATATATATATATATATATATATATATATATATATATATATATATATATATATATATATATATATATATATATATATATATATATATATATATATATATATATATATATATATATATATATATATATATATATATATATATATATATATATATAAATATATATGTATGTATGTATGTATGTGTGTGTTTAGTTTTATTAAAACTTTATTGCTAGACGAATTCGTGATAAATACGTAAATGAGATAAAAGATTATGAGCAATCAGAGCGAGCACTTCAGGATAAATGTAATAGTTTGAAAGAACAAATTGAAAAACTTGAAAATGATCTCATTCAGTTGAAAAGCAGTTTGAAGCACAAAGATCAAGAAGTAATTGATGTCAAAAAAATTACTGATCGGTTACAAGAAGAAAGAGGAAAAGTAAGTGACATCATCCGACAGGAATATGCAGACAGGTAATTTATTTTGATTAGCCATTTTAATTTCTTTTATGATGATTGCATTATTTTAAATGCATGTTAATGACAAATGTTTTTTACAACTGGATTAAAAGTTAAATTAAAAGCTGTTTTTACTGGACTAAATTGTTAAGCCATTAAATTGTTAAGCCAGGAGATTTTATTGGAGTGTTTTTGCTGAAGTGCAATAAGTTTTATCATTTTTTTAAAACCACATACTTGGTAGCTCAACTCGTTTCTCTGTGCAGCAGCCTTGTTCATCAAGGTTCGTGTTTCAGAGTTATAGAGTTTAGAGAGGGTTATAACCACAAATAAGTAGCCTCCTCGTCTGTAGTGGCCTTCTCGGCCTTGAGGAGGTGAATTAAAAAAAAAAAACACTAATAAACAATTTTAAAGACTAATTTATTATAATTTTTCTAAAAAATTTTTATAAATTTTTAAAAATACAATGTTTTTTTATAATTTTCAAAATTTTTTTTATATTTATTTTTGTTTCTTTAATTTTTATTTTAACCTGTGACAAAGTTCAAAGTTGTTTACAACAACAACTTAATTATTTAGGAAGTTAATGAATGTATATACATTACTAATTTTTATACATTTACTAATTTTTTAGTCTCGTTAAGCAGAGTGTACACTTTACACAGCAGAGTGCACATACATTTTTTTTACACTTTACACAGCAGAGTGTACATACATTTTTTTTACACTTTACACAGCAGAGTGTACATACATTTTTTTTACACTTTACACAGCAGAGTGTACATACATTTTTTTTACACTTTACACAGCAGAGTGTACATACATTTTTTTTACACTTTACACAGCAGAGTGTACATACATTTTTTTAGCCTATGCTTAGTAGAGTGTGCATACAATGGCTTTAATTTAAACAAAACACTTTAACTTTTGAACAAGTTAGTTTTATACTTCTGTTATTATAAAATAGCAAGTGTGCTGTGGATACTTTGAGGGGGAAAAAAAAAATTTAAGTTCTGGCATGTTAACTTTTTCCATAATGGCGGGCTAAAGTTGATATTTTTGTTTTAAGAACAAAATTTTTTTTGATTTTAAAGACCTTAATCTTAAAAACTAATTAAAAAATTAATACAAATCAATTTGTCTGCTGATCTACATGTGGTGGATAAAAAAAAATCAGTTGATTGAAGAGCTGCTTTTAAAAGTTATAGGTCTCTAAAATGAGTCTGATCGAGATTTTCCTAAAATTGATCTGCGATGCAAAGCATGTTACCTAAAATGGCACTTTTTTTTTTTCGAAAAATTTTTTATATGCATCAATTAAAGAATTTTATTTAATAAAAACCAAAAAAATTAATGGGCGCTTATTCATAACCCCCAAAAGATTGTCTCTAAAAGTCAGGTAAATTTTCCATAAAGTTATTACTTTTTAAAAGTTAAGTTATTGTTTCATTTAATTTTATATTACTAATATGTCAATCTAAAAAGTACTAATAAAACCAAAAAAATTGTCGTATTTTAGAACTATTTAATAATGAGTAATATGCCTGAGCTTTCTACTTGCTGTATTAGTAAAGCATTAAATGAACAGTGCTATCTTATCAAGTTTAACAAGTCTAAAAAAAGTAAATGCTAACAAGAACTGTCTACACCAAGAGCTTCTTTCTTTGAGAAGCAAAGTAAATCCCATAGATTTAATTTGTAACTATCACTAGAAAGTTTACTTGTTGAGGTATGAGAATGAAAATCGCGGGTATTGATGCAAACCCTTGAACAAATACACAAAAAAAGTGAAAAGTAAGTTTCAATATTTAAACTAATACCTTAATAATTCTAAATAAATTATTTAATAAGTAAATGTAAAACAATATTTAATAATTATTACCGTTACTTTTTAGATTCTCTTAGAGTTATCAGTCTTTCATATGCTAAAGATTTTGGTTTAATACCTGGTCAAAAAATTTGCACTAGTTGCAGAAAAGCTCTGAATTGCAAACCTAATGCAAAAGAAAATGAACTCCAAGGAAAAGAAATTTATGTTGACAACCATACATTAAAAGAAGATTTTAATTTAAGTATTGCAAGTTTTGGTTGCTCACCTCTCAAACTTGTTTCAAAAAAAAGATAGAGTTGCATATGGAAAGCGTAAAATTGATAACATAAAAGTTCATACACAAAAGGCTGTTGCCAATGTGCTAGGTTTAGAAATAGCTGCACTTGGTGGAATTGAATCACCCTCAAAAAATCTTTCGAAAAAAGACAAACACAGATTTAGACAATATTATGATTCAAATTAAGTCAAAATTTGAAAAAACATTGTGAAATTCTGAGAAAATCACACTTCTTACACTCACTCTAGACAGTTGGTCAATAGAGAAAACTCAGAAGTATTTTTTGACTTTAAAAAGATCTGTAGTACAAACCAGAAAATTAAGGAAAAAAATTGGAATACTATCAAAACCTTTTCCAAAACCGGGTAGAAAACTTGGTGAAGATGTAATTACAGAGGTTGTTCATTTCTATGAATGCGATGAATGTTTGTCCAGGAAAGAAATAGTTTGTTTCAGTTAAAGTAGATAGTATAAAGCAACACATCCAAAAGCGACTTTTACTAGTCAATATGAAAGAGCTACATATTGAGTTTAAAAAGAAATTTAATTATCTTAAAGTTGAATTTTCAAAGTTTTGTGAGCTAAGGCCCAAGTGGTGCATTCCTGTGGGTGGTGCTTTGGGTCTGCATGCAGTTTGTGTTTGCCAGTACCATCAAAATGTAAAGCTCCTTGTACAGAAAATTCCTGGAATTGCTGATTACAAAATCTTATTGAAATCAATGGTTTGTAGCATTGAAAAAAAAGATTGTATGCTGCATAGCTATGATATATGTCCTGCTAAAGAGGTTTGTTAGATTACATTGGAACTTTGGTTACAGAAAATGAAATTAGTGAAGTTAATTGTTATCAATGGCAAAAATCAAATTACCGATGTACTTTAGTACCAGGAACTTTACCTTTAGATGAATTTATTGAAATGGTTTATGAACAGTTAGATAATTTATGAGAGCATTATTTTATATCAAAAAGTCAAGCCACCTACTACCAACATTTGAAAAATAATTTAGAAGAAAATTAAGCTTTAGTTCTTCTTGACTTTGCAGAAAACTATAGTTTTCTAACTGGAATAACAGCCAGGCAACTGTATAAGTTTTCACTGGAATAACAGCCAGGCAGCTGTGCACCCCTTTGTTGCGCATTTTATAAAAGATGGAAAACTTGATAGTTAAAGTTATATCTGATCATCTGAAACATGGAACAGATGCTGTTCATTGCTTTATTGATAATGTTGTTGATAAGCTTAAACAATTACAAACATTTGAACACATCTATTTTAGTGATGGAGCTGCATTACAATATAAAAATTACTAAAATCTTATCAACTTATGCTACCATAAACACGATTTTGACATAACTGCAAAGTGGTACTTTTTTGCAACATCACATGGTAAAAGTCCTTGTGATGGTGTTTGTGGAACAGTGAAATGTCTTGTCGAGCCAGTCTACAGTCTTTTAACGATCCTATTGACACACCAAGCAAAACGTACAGCTGGTGTTTTTAACACGTCAAAGGAATATTTTTTTTTTTGTTGACAATGTTTCAATAGAAACACATTTTACAAACTTCAATTTGGAAGAGAGATATTCTTCTTCTACAATACCTGGGACACGAAACCAGCACAGTTTTATCCCAATGTCACTCACCTCAATAAAAATAAGAAGAGTTTTATTTGATAGTATTTGCACTAATGTGGATTTTTCTACTTGCAGAATTTTTAGTAATAAAATTTCAAGTTACACACCTGGAGAGTGGCCTGCATTTATGATGCTTAATGGTATTTAGAAAATATTCTTAGTATTTCAGAAGAGCATCAAGATCTTCATATTAAATTCATGAAAAAGTCTTCTTTATATAACAAGTTCACGTGGCCATGCAGAGATGATCTTTGTTGGGTACCTCTGATGCATATTTTATGCAAAGTACAATCTCTTAAGGTCCAGTCAAACATTGGAAGATTTTATAATATAGACTTAAAAGAAATCAATGAGATTGTTTTATTATTTGAGAAATTCAATTTTTTGTGAATTTTATTAATTTTGTTTATTTTCTTAAAACTTTTTTTCATTAATACAATTGAAAAATTGTATGAATGAGAAAAACATTTTGTTTGTTTTTCATTAAAAAAATTGTATTATAAAGCGGGGAGGGGTGGATGGGACAGAGGTAGAGGGGACAGAGGGGGAGGAGAGAGAACGAATTATATGTTTTTATCTATTGCGATTATAAGGCAATAAGTATTGATATTTTTTAATTAATATTTTACAATAAATAACATTATTTATTATGTTAACTTCAGAATTTTTTATGGAAAATTTACCTGACTTTTAGAGAATATCTTTTGAGGGTTATAAATAAGCGCCCATTAATTTTTTTGATTTTTATTAAATAACACTCATTAATTGATGCATACAAAATTTTATGAAAAAAAAAGTGCCATCTTAGGTAACAGATGCTTTACATCGCAGATCAATTTTAGGAAAATCTCGATCCGACTCAATTTGGAGACCTATAACTTTTGAATGCAGCTCTTTAATCAACTGATTTTTTTTAATGTTTATCCACCACATGTAGATCAGCAGGCAAGTTGATTTGTATTAATTTTTTATCTAGTTTTTGAAATTAAGGTCTTTAAATTCACAAAAAATTTTGTTCTTAAAACAAAAATATCAACTTTAGCCCGCCATTATGGAAAAAGTTAAGATGCCAGAACTTAAATTTTTATTTTCCCCCTCAAAGTATCCACAGCACACTTGCTATTTTATAATAACAGAAGTATAAAAATAACTTGTTTAAAAGTTATTGGTTGTTAAAAACGATGAAAACAACTTTTTTCTTGTAAAGTGAGATTTCATGCAAAATAGCCCACTACTTAAATAGCGTTTTCTCAAGAATTATATTAGATATTGATCTAAAATTTTTAAAACATGCTTTTCAAATATACATGTTCAAAATCAAAAAGTTTCAATAAAATCTGAGATGGTCCATGAGGGACCTTTGCACCACTTGGCATGGAATGACCCTTTTATTTCACAACATTTTTGTCAAAATATATGGCAACATCTTTTGTTCCTAGTCTCTTATTTTTTAACAAGATGTTGTGAGTTCAATATTTATTACAAATAGAAAATTCCAAAATAAAAACATATCCAAAAAAAAAAAACAGGTTACCATGACACATTTAACATATTTTACTGTACGGTTTTTTGGTTTTCTCCGGAATCTCCAAATGGTATTAGGTTGATAATTTACAGAAAATCAGTTTAGTTGTGTTTTCAAAAAAAAATTGTCTAACCTTGATTGGGTCATTAGTAAATTTAGTAAACCCACATGTGGGGTTGGATTTAAATACATATTTGTATTCGTATTTGGTAGTAATAGGCTAAATTCGTATAATTTTTTTTTTTTATTTAATTAGTAAATTTCTTAAATAATTGTATTTGTATTTGATTAAAATATATTTTTAATTCCATCAACGAGGTTGGCCAGGGTAAAACCCAAAAGATTTGTTATAAGAAATATTTGTAACTAACCATAAGACTAACCATAACCAACAGCAAAATAATTATCATTTGAGTGACAAAATTGATAAACAATATTCAAAAGTTTTACTAATTTCTTTATCAAAGTGGCACCATCACTCAATAATTCTGTGCTATTCATAGCGCCATCATTCAATAATCCAAGATTCAAATTGAAATCTTGAAGTTTTTTTACAATCATTTCAAATGCTTTTTCTGATGGGAAAGAACCAATAATTCTTAACATGCCTAGAGAATAAAGTTGTTTTTTTTTAAAAACCGATTTTTCTGTCCATTCATCTTTTATTCATTCATCTAAAAATAATGAAAAACAATAATCTGCTTTTTTATTCAACTTTTCAAAGTCATCAGCAAAATTGGCCTTTTTTGAAATATTTTGAAAGCTTTTCTTTTTGCTTCTGTTACTTGTAATTTTTATGAAACTGAATAATGAAGAATACTGAACATGATCTACTGAACATGAATTATTGAACATAATCTACTGAAAAAATTTGGCAAGAACAACCTCAGGTGAAGCAATCTTTATTCTAAGACAAGCTCTAATTGAAATCTGGTTACTCTTTTTCTCAACTGGTTTTTATTTCTTTAACTCCGAAGGTTTTTTAATTTTAGTATTTACAACTTTTTTTTAAATGTTAAGTCATCCATCTTGTGGCTGCTGGTTGAAATGTTCCAGAGTAATATATACACTTGAAAATTGGACCAATCAAAACATGTTTCCAAACTTCAGAATGTTTTTCCGTTGGTACAATCCACTGATTTTCAAAAACTTATAATGTTTTGAAATGAAATTAAAAGTAAATTTATTAATTTGTTTACTTTTATAATGAAAAGATATGTTGCCACTTCTAAAAAAGCATTGAGACGAATTTGTTGGCTGAACAAGCGAGAATAAAATGTAAATTTATGTTCTCTTTATTTTTTTAAAACTGTCTAGTGGGCAAAAATTATTTTTATTTGAATTACTTAAATAACCAAAAAAAATGTTAAACAATTTAAAATAAAATAAAATATTTGATTATTTAAATAATTATTTATTTGATAACAGCACTAATTAAAATAAGTTTTAACTACATATCTAAATTTAAAATATTATATGTAAAAATAGAGTTTAGTAAATTCCTGGAAAAGCTTTTTTGTTTATTGTTTAACTACATGAAAATGAGTATGAGCTACTTTAAACCTGTCATTGGTCCATCATTATCTTTTATTTAGCTGCAATTTTATATACTAGATGTCTAACTTTGATATATTTTATATACTAGAGAGTGATATACTTCGATTCAAAAAGTAAAGCCACTTTTTTCCTAATTAGAAATGGCTTCCACAACAGTAGCTATGATATTTGCCTTTTTTACAAATGGCAGATTAAACTTGTAAACAAAAAATGCAGTTTCACTTTTTGTCCGATAAAATCTTGCAATTTAGACATGTTATATATATATATATATATATATATATATATATATATATATATATATATATATATATATATATATATATATATATATATATATATATATATATATATATATATATATACTAGATATATATATACTAGATATATATTAGATGACATGATAACTTTGCAGTAAAATTTAATTATTTATGAAACTGGCAGCAACTAAGGAAGTAATAAAAGAAATGTTATTATTTTAATTACATAAAATGATAAAACTTCTTTTAATAATTACAATAATTAACAGAATAAAAATATTAAATACAATAATTACAAGAAAGAAGTCAGCAGTATTTTGTGGGGATGTAAAGGTCAACATAATCATTTATTTTATTATTACTTAATAAAAGTCAGAATATCTAACATAATGACTGCAACTGGCTGCATCCAGTCAATTGGTATTAATCCAGTCAATTGATAAATATACTTAAATGCAAGTCAAGTGTCTATTGTTGAGTATTCAATAAAAAGATATTATTAGGAATATGATTTATAAACTTTATAAAATTAGATTTTATAAACTTTAAACTTTCTTTTTATTGTTTTGAAAATATATGTAAATACTTTTTTTTCCTGAGTATTTATTCATTATTATTTTTTTTATTATTTTATTTTATATAGTATTTATTATTTCTATTCATTTTGAGCAATAGTTTTTATTTCTTTTGATTTGTATTAAAGTAATTTTAAAAGAAACTTTATTTAATTTTCAAAAAAAAAAAATCATTCTAATTTAAACAGTAGTCATAGTAACTTAAATGTAGTCATGGTAACCTAGAAGTAGTAAATAAAATTTTTAAAACAGATTGGTGGCTACTGAAGAAGAATCTAACCGCTTGAGAAAAGAACTAAGTGAAGAGAAAGCTCGTCGTCGTTTTGAAGTAGAAAGAATAACAAAAGAAAAAGAAAAAGAAATGGATGAACTACATGATCGGTAGTTGTTGTTGTTTTTTTTGTTTGTTTTTTATTCAACCTCTTTGATTAGTTTTAATATTAATTGGTGTAAACCCAAATTTCATTGATTTGTTTTTATTGGATGGTTTGTTCTGATGTGTTAATATTAGTGTGTTTGTTTTGATGTGTTTTTTTAACTGTAGTTTCTGTTTGTAATTTTAATGTTATATATATGTATTTTTTTTTTTTTTATCAATTTTTCAATGTAAGATACATATTTTTAATGTTATTTATATAATTTTTGTTTATTACATTTTTTTAATATAAGAAACAGATTTTTTGAAAGTAAGTTTATATATAAAAAAGTAAAAGTTTGAAAACTGTTTTAAAAGTTTAAAAATGTTATACAGTTTGAAAATTGCTTTTTGTTTATTATAAGTTAATACAAGTTAAAACATACAGGCTTGATAAAATTGAATATAATCTTATCAGCTAAAAGTAAGATGGTCTGACCTTACCAATTTGTGCAAATATCGAAGAATCAAATGACCGTTTTAAAAAACTTTATTTTGCACAGGTCTTTAAAAACTTGCACAGTACTTTAAAAACTTGCACAGGTTATTGACCAACATTTTAGCATACTGAAGTACTACTTAAGCACTGAGTTTGCGGTGGCAGGATTTGAACTCATATCGTTCGATATAAAATATAAAAAGTATATATCTATTAACTTTTTTGACACAAATTTTAAAAGTTACTTTTGTATTGATTGAAAAATCTAAAATCTCAATTTTTACTGTCAATCATTTTGTCTTTTTATATCATTAGATAATCCTTTTTTTTTAACCTGGAGTGGCATTTCAATCAAGAACTCAGCAACTTGCTGTTCTCTACTAGGAATTCAAAAATGATCAAAAAATATAGGGACTTTTTGCATCCTTTTCAATTTTCTCTATTGAGTTCTAAGTTTTATCTGAGTTAAAGTTAAACAGCCACTGAGAGCTCTATGCTGTAGCAGAAGTGAGATCCAGAGAGTGTTGGCCACTGAGAGCAGAAGTAAGATCCTTTTTAAGCTTAAATGCTTAAAAAGGATTTCACTTCAGCTATAAAAGGAGAACCCTTTTATACTCTCAGTGGATGGTGGATAATACTTAATTGGTAAATACTTACAATATTTGTTTAGCAGATTATCAGAACAATTTATGTTTGAGATTTTCATTTTGTTGATATAAAATAGCCTTACTTTATCTACCATAGATTTCTTCTCAGATTGAAAAGTGTGGTATTCTGATAGCATGTGTTTTTCTAATGGTTCATTATCAAAAAATGATTCAACACAACTAAATTGTGTACAAAATTTGAGAGTTTTAATATTTCTATCAAAGCTTAATTTTTTAGAAATTTTTGGTGCAGTAGAATTTAAATTAAGTTTAAATTAAGTTTGGTTGAATTTTTTTGAGTTTTTTGAATTTAAATTAACAACTTAAATTTGCTAAATCTACTGCTAAAATAGAATAATACTTAAAGGTAATACTGTTGCTCTCAGTGGCTGGTGAACAGCAAAAACAAGAAGATCAAAATCTATATTGACATTAGAAAGTAAGTTGTTACATTCAAGATAAGAGAGTTTAGATATTAACGAGAGATTTAAAAAGGAGAGATTAAAAAAAAAATTATGAAAAAGATGAGAGGGAAGACTATTATGATGGTAGACAAATCAGATGTTTCAGATCGCTCTCCATAATTTTTGAAAATAGGGATAACAGATGCTGCTTTCAAGCAGGCTGAAAAATAAGTTTCTGAGTCTAAGCAGGAAATCACTTTAGATACAGAAGCTGGAGTAACATAAATGTCAAGCAATGGATCAACCTTTTTGTTGGCTATATCAGGTAAAATGCGACTGATAATGATGATAATGATAAAAAGAGATGATAATGATGAAAAGTTCTAAGCAAACAATACAGCTTTGTTTTTAGGTGACAAAATCTGAACCATGCAAGAGAAGAGGAATAAAAGATTTGCACTTATTATAGACACTGTTAAAGATTCTCCAGAAGTCTAATTTTTGAGGTGAAATATAAGATTTTAGACCTGAAAATAGCGGGCTTTGGCGTTAGGCAAAATCTTATTACAATGGTTTATAGCAACAGTAAACAGGTGACTGTTTTCTGGGGAGTTGTTTTGCTAATAAATATGAAAGTAAAGGTTACGATTAAAAATTGCAGCAGCATAATTAGAGAAACCATGGAGAAGAGTGAGGCTTGATTTGGAATGGTTGATAGGGAATAAAGGATTCCATGCCATTCTGAATCCAAAAAGTTATATAAAAAGCATGTTTGTCAGCAGGAAGACAAAAGATTCCTACCCAAGGGCCATCACAAAAAAAAGTCATTGAAAGAGTACCAGCCAGCCTTAAGGTAGTTGTAATAGGTACAATGATAAGGGGATTCTGATGATGAAGAAGAATGAGATAATAGTTTTAGAGAGATCAAGTTGTGATCAGAAGCACCTAAGAGCGAATGTAGAGAAACTGAGCTCTGACTAGGATCAGAAATTAGGCATAAGTCGAGTAGAGAAAGCAACTTCACTGACACTTCACGCCATTGAGTGTGATGAGCATTAAAGTCACCAACAACAACAAACAAACAACAACAATATTGGCTGAAAGATAAACATCAAAAAGTGTGCAGTTTTGAAGAAATAACATTAAAAAGAATGCAGTCTTGAGACGAAGGAGAGCGATATAAAACAAAGAAAAAGGCAATAAAGTGAAGTGGTGCTAAACGAAAGCACATTAACTTAAAGTCTATGGATTCAAGTTGTCTTATATAAAAATATTGTAACAAAAAGTGAAACTATTGTTTGGAATGATTAATTAAAATAGAGTTTTAAATTATAATGTTTACTTATAAGATAATTATAAAATTATTACATAAAATTGTAAAAAAGTTTTGTCTAACACCAAAGCTTGATATTCTCAGATCATGAAATCTCTCTCAGAAATTTTATCACAAAAATTAGATCATGAAATCTCGTATTTCATCACAAAAATTAGGCTCTCGTGACTTCTGGAGAATTTTTAATAGTATCAATAATAAGGGCAAGTCTGTAATTCCACCTCTTTTGTATGGTTCAAACTTTGTCACCTCACCTAAAGACAAAGCTGAATTGTTTGCCAAGAACTTTTCATCAATATCATCTCTTGATTCCACTAGTTGCGTTCTACCTGATATAGCCATCAAACAGGTTGATCCATTGCTTGACATCCTTATCACTCCAGCTTCTGTATCTAAAGTGATTTCCTGCTTAGACTCTTCTACAGCTTGCGGCCTGGACAACATACCCATTATAGTTTTGCAGAAGTGTTCTCCGGAGCTGCCATCTATCCTTTCAAAACTATTTAACAAGTGCTTATCAGATTCTTGTTTTCCAGCCTGCTGGAAAGCAGCATCTGTTATCCCTATTTTTAAAAATTCTGGAGAGCGATCCGATTCGTCTAACTACCGTCCCATTAGTCTTCTTCCTATCATAAGCAAGGTTTTTGAATCTTTAATTAACAAACACTTAATCTCTCATCTCGAATCTCATAAACTAGTTTCTGATCATCAATATGGATTTCGATCTTTTTGTTCTACGGCTGATTTGCTGTCAGTAATAATTGATATGTTTTATCGCGCATTAGATAAAGGTGGAGAGGTTAAGGCCATTGCTCTTGACATTTCTAAAGCGTTTGATAAAGTTTGGCATGCTGGTTTTCTCCATAAGCTTTCTTCTTATGGCGTATCTGGAAACATCTTTAAGATTATTGAATCCTTCCTTTCCAATTGTAGTATAAAAGTTGTCCTTGATGGACAGCAGTCTTCTTATTCTGTAACCTCAGGGGTTCCTCAAGGTTCAATCCTAGGCCCTATACTCTTTTTAATTTACATTAGCGATCTTCCAGATATTCTCACATCTAAGGTGGCATTGTTCGCTGATGATACTACCATTTATTATTGTCATGATAAGAAGCCAACACTATATGATTGTTTGGAGGGGGCATTTAAGCTTGAAAAGAATCTCACTTCTGCTACAGCATGGGGCTCACAGTGGCTGGTGAACTTTAATTCAGATAAAACTTTAGATCTTCCTATATTTATGAATGGTAATGTACTTGATGAATCATTTACCCTTCATCTTCTAGGATTAACTCTTACTTCTGATCTTTCTTGGAAATCTTATATCAAATCCATTGCAAAATTAGCATCTGCTAAAGTTGCTTCTCTTTATTGAGCTCGACACTGTCTTACTCTGGATTCTATTCTCTATCTCTACAAATCTCAAATCCGGCCTTGTATAGAATGCTGTTGCCATATCTGGGGCGGATCTTCTAATGATGCTTTTTGTCTTTTAGACAAGGTGCAAAAACGCATTGTAAACATAGTTGGACCTGCTCTTGCAGCCAACCTTCAACCTCTGTCACATCGTTGTAATGTTGCTTCTCTTTCTCTATTTCTACAAATACTATAATGGGCACTGCTCTAAAGAGCTAGCGTCTCTTGTGCCATCTACTAAAATTCATTCTCGTGTTACTCGTCATTCAATTAAGTCTCATCCTCTTTCTGTGTCTGTTCCTAAGTGCTCCAAAAACTCTTACTCGTCTAGTTTTTTTCCTCGGACATCAGTTATTTGGAATTCGCTTCCTTCATCTTGCGCTCCTGATTCATATAATTTGCAATATTTTAAGTCGTCTTTCAATCTATATATTATTTTTTGTATATAAACAGTTTTTAATTTTTAATTGTAAAAATATTTAAAGTTTATTTTACATTAGGTTTTGATACATAATTATAGGTTGGTATAACTGAGAATAGTTAAAACATAATATTGTATTGATAAAGTTTTATGTTAAACAAATGCTACTAGTTTATATGATTGATTCCAATTTTAAAAAATGGCCGTTATAGAAGTTGTGAAGCTATACTGCTAATTTCTGTTGTTTTTTTTGTTGCGAAGCTTAAAATTTGATAATTAAGAATTATAAATTTGATAAATAGAAAATGAAAATTTGATAATATTCTCATTGTTGTTGTGAAGCTAGATAGCTTCTCTAATAGATTTCTCTTTATATCCATGGTAAATTTGGGTAATATTGCTGTATATTTTGTTTGTATGTATTCATTGTGAAACTCAGTGCTTTATCTTATGCAAACTAAACATCGGCTTTTCATTCTTTTTACATTTAGTATTTTTCAGTTAAAATTTTGTCTTTTTCAGTTTATATTTTATACCTTTCTATTTATATTTTATATATTTATATTGTGTATCATTCTATTTAAATTGTGTAGCTTTTTAACTATATTTCATATTTCCTGTTTGTTTTATATTAATTACGACATTTTGAAAAATAAATTATTTCGAAAATTTTAATAATAATATAAAAGATAAAATATAAGTAAAATATTGCAACATCGTTTTGTAACAGTATAAACATTTATGTTATTATCACTTATTAACCTATCGTTGTTATGACAACAATATTATTGACACTTTTGTAATGATAAATTACTTAAGAAAAGAATTGTTAATGAATTTTTTGCAATTTTTTTAGTGTAAAAAAGGCTATATCGAAGAAAGAAGAAACTGCGAATTTGCTTATTCAGCAAAAAATAGTAAGTTTAAGTTGTGTTATTTTTATTTAATTCTTCTCTAAATTTCTATATGTCTCTCCATCTCTTAATTTCTATGTCTCTTCATCTCTAAATTTCTGTTACTCTATCTCTCCGTCTCCTAATCTTTATGAATTTATTATTTCTATTAGAATAAATTAGAAAAAAAGAATACTTGCCTATGTTATTGATATAATTGCAAACAATTACAGTTAATTCCCGATAACTTTAATCTTCAAATGACCAAGGAAAATGGTTCTACTTAACGAATGTTCGACTAAAGCGAATTCTTTTTTTTTAATTCACTTTCCCAAGGCCACTACAATCGAGGAGTCTACTTTTAGATGTGGTTACAACCCTCTCTCTATTCTATAACTTCGAGACTCGAACCTTGACGATAAAGGCCGCAGCGCGGAGAAACAAGTTGATCGCGTTTCTACCAGGGACGTGGTGGGGATCGAACTCGGAACTTCTCGCTTATGGCGAGCGTTCTAATACTTCGCCATTACCTTTAAGTCGAACTTTGGCTGATATAAGATACTAAAGTATATACATTTTATTTACACCGTTATACTAATGTTTCAATGAAAGAAGTTACAAAGTGTGTTTTAAAAAGTTTAGCGACACAATGACTTTTTTTATCATTTGGTAATAAAATTGCGTCTAAAAGGTAGTTTTTTATTTAGAAATACATTAAACAATCAAATAATTTTTTTTTTTAACCTTTCAACAGTTTTATAATAACATTATTTTATTATTCTGATAACGATCTATTCTAATAAGATCAAAATACAACGAAAAAATAAAGAACTTATTAGGCTACGTTTATTTATGTTTTATATGGAATGACTTCTTTTTTTTAAGAAAAATATAATTATGTTAATATATTTAAATCCCATACAAAAAGTTCAAGTTATCCGAAAAATTTTGCTGAAAGGGGACGAAAAAAAGGTTCGACTTCGAGTTATCCGAGGTTCGAACGGAAAAATGTTAATAGTAATTGATTAAACGATTTTAACGGACCAATAAAAGCAGTTTGAAATAATAAAAGTTACTGGAAATTAACTGTATATTAATAATATAATTAGTAAATAGTTAAAATAATACTTAAATATAAAATTCTTTTTTTATTAATCTCTTCTTTTCTTAGGCTGCAGAAAAACGAGCTGAACATCTCGAACAATTACTTACAGAGCAGCGCAAAAAAATTCTTGCCAAGTGAATAACTTTTTAAAAGTGAAAGTTTTGATCGGAAAAGAATTTTAAAAACATTGAAAGATGTTCAATGCATCAACAAAACGTCGTTTTGTCGTTGACAAATGTCAATCAACGCCAAATGTATTTTATATATATATATATATATATATATATATATATATATATATATATATATATATATATATATATATATATATATATATATATATATATATATATATATATATATATATCAATTTTTATTGCTGTCTTTTATTTATTTCAAAACAGTTTTTATATGTAATATATAACATGGATTTCTATTAACTTATTTTTCATAAATGTTGGGTTATATATAGTTAAATTTGAAAAAACTAATCAAAAATCCATCTTACATAGCTATTTTTTATCCTACATCCTACATACTCATTTCACATCCTACATATTCATCCTATATCCTACATATTCATCCTACATCCTACATATTCATTTTACATGAAATAAATGTGATATAGGATGAGTTATTTAATATATTGTTTATCACTAATATAAATATACCTGATCAACAATATATTGGCTCAACAGAAGGTACAGAGGAAATTTTATTTCACTAATAGGGGAAAAAATATACCAGAGGGGAAATATTATTTCGAAATAAATTTTTTCCCTAGAAAGTTTATTTGAGCTGGGGAGAAATTTTATAATGGGAAATTTATATCTCAATTGAAAATTGGGAAATTATTATTACAATTAAAATATCTGCTTAATAAGAGTGACAAAATATTAGGTAACCATTAAAAAATTTATAATTTTATCTTTTAATACTGGAGACTAAATTTTTTACGATTTTTTCTTTATTAACAATTCTTGGTTCATATTTCGTCGGGTTGGATTAAGGTTGTAATTGACATTTTCTTCAAAATTGAAATTATGACTTTATTGGACTATTTGTATTATGACAAACAAAATAAAGTAAAATTTATTGCGATCTAGCATAAAAAAAGCAAACTACCAATGTGCCATAGATTTAGTTAACTAATATACAGTTTGACAAGGTTTAGGCTAAACCCTACTGCTAACTGCTAACTCTTCCAAATTTTTTTCAGTTAAATATATATTATGATAGAGAATTTTATACTCATCAAAAACCATATACAAGCATTGGTCTTAATAAAAATGTATAGTGTCCTAGTTTGACGTTGATGTAAAAATAAAAATATCGTAAAAACGCTAATATTCGCAATTTTTATAAATCTTTTTTATAACGTTATATTGCACACAAAAAATTGCAGCTTCTATCAGCAATGAAATAACTATTAAAAACAAAAATAAATCGCTTTTATAAGGTAAAACTCTTTTTTAAAATTTAATAATGACAATTCAGTCTTTTCACAAACATACCGCAAGTCGATGTACATTTTGCTGCGCATATTCTTAACTGTCAGTCAATGTAATGACGTTTAACTATGTCTAACCCCAACGGTCAGTCATGCATGTTTATTACCCCGCACTTACCTCTAATGGTCAGTTAATGAATGTATATTCTTGAATATAGTTGATGAACAAAATGATATAACTTTAATTTACTACATATGCATTGGCAATATTTAAAAAGTTGAATAATTCATAATAAAATATTTATTAGCAATCTTAAAAAACTTTTTTATAAATAAAAAAGATTTTTATCATGATTTAAAAAGAGTTTTTCAAGACTATGGTCTGGTCTAGAAAGTTGTTTTTTTATGTACTAATTTAGGAAAGTATTTACTTTTATGGATTGAACAATGTCTTCCTAGCCCATCAACTGCATTTGATGGGCTAGGAAGCAACTAGCCCATCAACTGCATTTTAGGGGTATTTTTCAATGAAGAGTGAAGTATTTTTTAGTTACAAATAGTAATAGCAAATGCTTATGTTATCATGGGTGAAAAATATTATCAATCGATATTAATAAATTTTTAAGGTAAGAACATAACAATTTTTGACATCGATTTTACTCAAAACTACTTACGGATCAGTTAGAAACATGTTGACAAGTTGGTTTGAACCAACACAACGATTTCAAATTTTTCTTGCAGACATAATATATATTTTTTTGGAAAAATTTTTATGCACTGTTTTAAGAGTAAATCAATTCAATAAAAATCATTAGTTTTTTATCTTTCAATTCCCAAATGTATTTTGACAGCATTTTTTGAATACTTTTTATTTTTAAAGGATAGATTTTAATTTGCAAAACATTTTTTCAATTCGACTTTATTTCCCCCTGAATATTTATTTAATATTTAATTTAATAGTTACTTTTATATATACAAATTGACTTGATTGCACAATTACATGTTAAAAAATGGATTATTTAAATAATAGAGTAGTTAGATAATAAATGGTTAAATTTACAACCTGTTTAAATGTTGAACTAACTAAATTAATTTACATAAAAATTTACATAAAAAAAATAAGTTTTAATTGAATTAAACGCATCAATCATCAAAAAAAAAAAGTTATTTATGTTTAAACTCGGTTTTCTTAAATAAATTGATAACAAATTATTATTTTTTTTTTTTTTTTTTTTTTTTTTTTTTTTTGTTCTCATATTTTGCAGTATAATTATATAAATGCAATTAATATTTCAATATAAATACAGATGGTCGGGGCAAGAAGAAGACACAATTTGTCTTATCACCCCGAACCTGTAGAATTGATTCCGTAAAAGATAAATAATTACGCACAGCTGTTACAAATATACATAAAACAAGACTTTCTTTTTGAAAAGATAAAACAAAAAGGTAATAAATAAAGAGAAAAAGAAAACAATAATTTTAAAACTGAAAATATCAACAGCTCTATTTAATTCTATTTTTAAATAGAATTATATATATATATATATATATATATATATATATATATATATATATATATATATATATATATATATATATATATATATATATATATATATATATATATATATATATATATATATATATATATATATATATATATATATATACAGAATCGGACAAAACAAATGCAACCAAATAATGCTAATTTAGTTTCTTTATATAAAAGTGCTGCATTTTTTCAATTTAGAGAAATAACTATGTAACTGTTTAGAGATAACGTTCTTCAAGTTTTATTCATCACAAAGTTCATTATTTGTACTCAAAAATTAATAAATTAATCAAAAGTATTAAAAAAAGTTGATTTCCTTCTGGATAAAACAAGTGTAACTCCACAAAATGTTGACCAAGCTGTATTTCGCTATCAATATTTTGTGGCGAATCCTTTGTTGTCGATCACAGTCTTGCATTTTTGAGGCATAGATTCGATCAGGTGATCAATGAAACTTTGTGGAATTGTTGCCCAGGCCTTTCGGATTTGTTCAAACAGTTGATCCTTATTACGAACACCTTCACGATTAATTCTGTGGTTGACGATCTCCCACAGGTTCTCGATAGGGTTGTGATCCGGAGATTGAGGCGTCCAATCCATCACCGATAGGTGGTTGTCTTGAAACCAATACTTGACTACTTTTGCAGTGTGTTTGAGATCGTTGTCATGCTGAAAAACCCATTTTATTGGCATATTCCATTCAGCATGAGGCAACATAACATCTTTCAGGATATTTTTATACATGAAACGGTCCATTATTCCATCGATTCGATGGATTGGACCTAGATCGTTAGCAGATAAACACCTCCAGACCATTACATTGCCTCCACCATGCTTCACGGTCTTATGGCAGTAACGTAAATCGAGGCGTTTTCCGGCCGGTTGACGTACACGACATATGCCATTGCTCCTAATGATGTTGAACTTCGATTCATCACTGAACAGGACAGTTCGCCATTTCTGCACATTCCAGTCAATACGAGATGAGCAAACAGGAGTCTTTTCCTCTGGTTCTTTAATGAAACCAGCGGTTTCTTTGCAGTGCGTCGAGAAAACAACCCGGCTTCAACAGCACATCGTCTGATTGTTCGGTCCGATACAAGCAGCTCTAATTGCTTTTGTATCTCGACTAATGATATCCAGGGATCCTTCTTGATGGATCTGACAATCATAGAATTTTCTCTAGAAGTGGTGGAACGCGGTCTTCCACCTTTGTTATCTGCTGCCAACTTCCCCGTAGAACGATATTTGAAACATAGTCTTGATACGGTCCATTTTTTCACGCAATATTTATCACAAATACTTTTTTGTGACATTCCACTTACGTAATGGCCAATAATTATTTTTCTTAGTTCCAATCCAAGACTGTCGGGAGTCATTTTTGCACTTGAAGCCATTAAAATAATGAAAATAAATAATCACACTTCTCAAGGCTTACCGTGTTACATTTACCTTGTGATGATACAATAATGCTCTGTGGAACACAACGTCTTGGTTGGATGTAGACTGTATTGATGTAATGAAACACTTGTGTATTTCACTTCTTACATTGATGTTCTTCGATAAAACACTTTGATAAAACTCATTTCAATAAACTGTCTTGATAATACTGACTGATTGACTTCCATATACTGACTGAATTACATGTCGGTTTCCATGTCTTATATATAGTAAAATGAACCTATGTGAACCCGTTCTAAAAGATTCTAGATGCTTTTTTTCGATGCTTCTGGAAGCTTCTGGGAGCGTCTGGATGCTTCTGAATATTTCTGATATATAAATATATATATATATATATATATATATATATATATATATATATATATATATATATATATATATATATATATATATATATATATATATATATATATATATATATATATATATATATATATATGTATATATATATATATATATATATATATATATATATATATATATATATATATATATATATATATATATATATATATATATATATATATATATATATATATATATATATATATATATGAAAAATCAAAAGCATCGAGTAAAAAAAAGAAAACAAAATGAGTAACTGAAAGTTTAATTAGGTAGAGAAAGTTCGTGTTTTTTGGGCCTCCTTATACCTAGTGTCACCCCATTTTATTTGAAAACTATAAAGCTCTAAGTAATTCTCAGTGAGCTGATTATAAAAAAATTAATTTTCAATCTTATTTTGATTCTCAGAAAGCGTTGTTACGGCAAGTTATAAACAGAAAATGCTTTTTGATTGTCTAAAGTAAGTTTTTGCCGCTGGTATCTTAGATTGTTTTACAATCCTAGAGGAAATGCTTTTCTATAAGTTCTTGTATATTTTATTGTTTGTTACTAAAGTACTAAATGCGATGTTCTACAAGCTTCCTCTCAGTTCAAGTTCTTTTATATATGACATTTCACGAGGCCATAATTTCTTGTACCAAGTGCCATATAGTTTGCTTGTACCTAGGGCCATATGTGCGTAAAGTATTCGCTTAATAATGATGTAGATTGTTGAATTTTGATTGGTGCAGAATTTATTTTTTCTCGCGGTTGTTTTGGGATTACCATTTTACACGTATTTTACACGTATTTTACACGTAGACTTATTTGTCGATTTTGCTTAGAACTATAAGCCAATATAGTTATCTAGTTTTGACTTTCGACAAGTCGACTTTTAGTCGATTTAATCAAAGTTGATAACAACACTACAATTAATATTTACTAAATTTGATTTAAAATAATGAAATAATTTGTTAAAAAAAATGAAATTACAAATTCGTAGGAAAAAAAAGTTATTATTCAAATAAATATATAAAAATAAGTTTGCACAATGCACTCTAAAATATAAATAAAAAAACAAACTTGTACAACATATAAAATCTATTTGATATTTATATTAGTTTATGATATTTAGATTTTTTTATTTTCAAAGACTTTCCATTAAAATAAACATATAACTTGCAATAAAATCTATACGTTATAACTTTTCTCTTAAAAAAATAAAATAAAAACTTACAAAAAATAGAAATAAAAAAAAGTGTTGGTTAAACTCTTTTAAAATAAAAATATAAAAAGAAGTAAATTATTTATGATTAAATACTAGTTAAAATTATTAGTCAATAGCAAAAATTGATAAGGACCTGAATCTCTCCATGTAAAATCTCTCCATGTAAAATATATATTTAACCATGATTCAATCGAAGCGACACAAGGTTGACAAACATAAACTTTAAAATAAATTGAAAATCTGTACCACCCAGATAACTTTAGAAACAGTCGCAGGCTCCATTACCAATCAGAAGCATTTGCTTCAAATTTACTTTAAATTCGTTAAAAATTCCAAGAGTTTTAAGTTTATTAAATAAAATTTTATTTCATACTTTTGGTCCTCCAATAGAAGTTGAAAACTTTTAGGCTGAATATTGTTGTTTGAGTATCAAGTTATCTATGAGTATCTATGTTTATTTATTGTTGTTTGAGTATCTAGTTATCTATATTTATTTATTATGAAGAGATGTCAAGACAGTAAATATCAAGACTAAGACCAAAACATTAAAACTCATTACCTAGGCCAAAACTTATTAATTCAAGACCAATACATCAAAAAGTCAACCCAAAAACAAGACTAAGACTTTGAAAATTTTCACAAGACCAAGAGCAAGGCTTAAGTTCTTAGAAATTTAACACAACAAGACTCATGCTTACTCATGTATGTACACTGTTAGGCTGTTAGGTGATATTACCATTTGCACATATTACTCTATAAGAGTCTCTAAAAATAACAGAAAACTAACAGGTTTCTACTGTTGTTAAAAACAAAATGTACATATAAAAAATGACGTAAGACATTTTTTGTACATTTTAACGCTGTGAAATTATTTATAGCACACAACCCTGACAAATGCAAACATGCTTAACTATAGTAGCCATAATTGCAAAAATAAAGTTCAAAATAAAGTTTACATATACCATTAAAGTACTCTTTGTGAAAAGTAAAACAGACGTCTAAGTATCACTTAATTGTATAACTTAAATAACATGTTAACCCTAGTAGTAACAATTTATTATTCATTATTAATCCATCCAGTGTGTTGACAGTTTTTGTAAGGATCAAAAAGTTGCAAGAGTCTTCAGAGCCTACATCTCTGTGAACAAGTCTCGAGGCCTACATCTCTGTGAATAACGAATTAAAAATGTTGTCTTATTTTTGTATTAACTTTATACGTAAAAATTAAAAGATGATAAACGATTAGTTGGTAGATATTGAATAAGTTCAGCATTATAAACAGTTCTTTGGAGTGTTTAAAACAGCCTGCACTACATAATATTCTAACTGCTTGTTTTTGTTTATTAAAGGCTTTTTTAATTTTGTTTTGACTTGTGCTACACCAGGCTATACTTGTAATTCAAAAATTTTAAGGGGATTTTATTGCGTTCATGAAAGCGATGGAATGAAGTATAATTTGTTTTATAGGAATTTTTCGGATATTGCCCTGAATGTTTACTTGTGAATTCTAACAGCAAACCATCACCCGCAACTCTTCATCCAGTCCCAGCTCATGATATTTTTCACCGTTGAGGAATAAACCTAATTGGACCGTTAAAAAAAAATAAGAACTGATGTTTATGTTAGTAGCAAAAGAACACCTGACTAGATGAGCTAAAGTTAATTCCATTGCAGACAAGAATGCAGATTCTATTCATCGTTTCATTGTTCGTCAGGTATTCAGATTAGGAGCTTGCCACATTCTACTTCACAAAATTAGACATGTAATACACAAAAACGTCTGCATATCATACCAAAGCGAATGGGTTAACAGAAAGGTATTAAATAAATATATAAGTTTTCACATTTTTAAAAGTAACTTTGAAATTGTTTTTTGTTTAAAAAAAAGGGTATTATTTAGTAACTTTAAATCCAACAGTTACTAACTATAATTTATTTATTTTGCACAATAGGTTCAACCAAACATTGAACATATAACGAAACTCAATAACAACAAAGCAAACAACTGGGATGAGCTACTAGATCCTGTGGCTTTTGATTGAATAAATAAACAATTTTCTACGAAAAATTTTTCTTTTTGAGATTAGTATTGAGTTAAAGCTCAGATTCCAATCAATTTGGAAAATTAAACAAGAGAGTTTTTTTTTGTGGGATTTCAAAACTGACAAAAGTCGCAGAAGAAATTAGCGCGAAAAGAAACACAGCTAAAAAAACAAAACTATGTCAAAAAAAATGTTACGATATTAAACATTTAGGTTAATCTTTTGAAGTTAGTTTTGAAATGCAACAAACGCAAAGACACTCAATGAATGATAAACTAGCTCAAAGATTCCGCGGCCCTTTTCCAATGATAGAAGTTTTAGACAAAGGAGTTTATCAGTTGCAAGTTAAAAAAACAGTATAGAAGCAAACTATCAACATAAAAAGATGGAATGAATCGCAGGAAGACATCATGTCAAATAAACTTGCAGCCTTCGGTCAGAATATCAGTTATTGCAGCAGTTGCATTATTATTTATTATTTTATTATTAATTGTGTATTTCGCCCATAAAAAAAAAAAGTTATAAAAGTTAGACAATAAAAATATATAAATACATGGCTGGGCAAGAAGAAGACAAATTTGGTCTTATCGCTAAACCTTTTAAAATCGAAATTTCAATAATAGAAATACAAAAACAACGTAATTTCGTTAAATTGAACTTGAAATTTTCGATAAATTATTCGTTTTTTGAAATTTAAATTTTCATTAAATTGAAATCTTTGTTAAATTGAAATTGAAATTTGCATTAAAAAATTCAGTTGAAAAAATTGATAATCAACCAAAGGTTTCAAAATCAAAATGCTGGATATTAAATCTAACAATTGGAGATCAACAGGTTCTGAGTTCAGACGCATGGCTGAACAACAAAATTATTGATGTGGTCAACAAAATGGTTTGAACATATCTTGGTTACAAAAAAATTAATCAACTCTTTTAGTTCAGGCACGACCTGAGGTCAAAGCAGTCCCCTGTTTGTCAACCATCATTCTTCACCACGTAAACCATTGGATGACAACTCCATGCACTAAAGAAAAAGTTGTGTATTTAAATAGCCTTCATTGCTCCGTTTCAAATTATGTTAAAGCTCAAATGAGAAAACTCTATGTTAGTTTTCCTAATCACGTAGGTTTTCTTCTAGTAACAATTGTACCATACGCACTTTAACCAAATGCATTACACTGTAGCGTTTATACAGCTGCCTTTGCATTTCTGTTGGCAATTTATAGAAGAGATGGTATGATGCAGACATTTGAAAACAAAATGACGAGTCCAAAAACTGTAAGAAAGCAACACAAATTATCAATATTTAAAATAAGTTAATCCATATTTTTTTAACTTTATTTTGTAACTGCTGAATCACGTTTTTACTTTATTTTGTTATTTTTTTTAAAGGGAAAGCCCTCTCTAAACAGAAATATTAAACATTTGAAAATAAATCAAGAATCAATGCCTGACAAATTGGCCGTACATAGGATTATGACATGTCTTGCGGGACCATCATTGTAAGTTTATTATACACCTTGTTGTCTACTAAATATACTATATGTTATAATATTATTAAGTTTCGCTTCTCATGAGCCAAGTTTTTTTTTTCTATAAACACTCAAAATATTAAAATACCAGCCTTTTGCTCAGCCATCAGTTGTGTAAACAAACGTGGAAAGCATATTGGAAATAGTATCTTTTTTTTAGGTTTCCAAAGGATAAAGATAATGAAAAAAATTGATAATGATAATGTAAGTAGTTATTAATTAAATCAAATTTAAAGAAGCCTTCAAAACTTTAGTTTAAACTTTATGAAATAAAAAAGATTTGTATTTAATATGATGTAAATAATTCCACAAGATAATAATGTAACTGTTAAAAATACTTTTAAGAATAAGTATCATCTCATCAAAATAATTATCAAATCAGATGATAACATCTGAAGTTAAAGTTTGTCGACTTCAAAATGTTTAGAAGAGTTTTTTCATTACCTGCTAGAAGCACTATTTTAATGCTTCTTGAAAAATCTTTTGGGACCCTAGAGTCTGGTTTTTCTAATAAGGTTATGGCTTTACTAAAAGTGCGATTAGTTACCATGAATAAATTGGAAGAAACTGTAGCTTTATTTTTGATAGAATGTCTTTAAACCAACATCTTGATTATGACAAAAACAATGGCAAGATTATTGGAATTTGATGGTCTGTGGGTTATCAACAAATTGGAAACCAATTGTATATTTTTACAGTAATTCTACTATGTGTTCAAACAATTTAGCTAAAATAGTAAATAATGCTATAACTCATCTACATAAAACAGGTTTAGCTGTAAGATGTCTGGTGATCAAAGCTCAATGTTAGAGCTCTCTTTCAAGTTTTTAGGATTTTAATTAAATCAACAAATTTCACATCCAACTACAGGAGCAAAACTTTATTTAATATTTGATCCACCACATCTTATAAAAAATGTCAGAAACAGGTTAATAAAACATGACATTTTATTTGATGGTAAAATAATATCGTGGAAGTATTTGGAAGAACTTTATAACTTGGACAAGGTTAATGCTGTACGACTTGTTTCAAAAGTCATTTAGATCCAGGATCACTATTAGCCATGTGTGGAAAATTAGCAACACAAATTTTTAGTTGTCAAGTTGCTACTGCTTTGACTGAATACAGTTCTACAAAACTATTGCCAGAAAATGTTTTGTCAACAGTCTTTTTTATTAAAAAAAGGGATATTTTATTTGACTAATCTTGAACTCTTGTAAACTAAAAGTAAATAAATCAACACGCTCTGCTAAAACAATTAATAGTAGTTTTATACAAAAGCTTGAAGTTTTAAGAATTTAAATTAAGGGTTAGCATTTTTCTGGCGCTTGCAGCTAAAAAAGTATATCCAGCCATTGGGGTTTAGATGTCACTATTTTTTATATTCCTTGTCTTCCAAACGAATTGCTTCATGAGAATTTTTTTTGTTTACACAGCTAAACTTAGTTAGGACTGTTTAGAAAAATTGTTTGCAATAATACGAATCAAAGGAGACTGGAATGACAGACCAACAGCAATGCAATTTAAATTGGCATATAAAAATACCTTAGTACTCCTTTCAATAGAACAATCTAACTCTAACAGTAATTCGCAAGTTTGGAATACGTGTGTCGTATCAATATTTTATTAAAATTATATATAAAAATGTATCTATTTAGTTTATGTAAATTTAATTTCATGTTAATTAAAAAAAAATTCTTCTTTTAAACGTTAAATTGTAACCTTATATAAAAATATTTATTTACATTTATATAACTTTAAAATTACATATTTATATATAATTTCAAAAAATTTTCGATACGGCACTTGTATTCCGAGCTGACGAATTGTCTCCCTGAATCAGACTTCTTTGCTGCATTTGCAGTTTACTCAATTACCAACATAGTATTTAAGAATCAAATTTCTGCAAATGAACAATTGATTTTCAAACAGCCAACTCATTTATTTAAAAAGAAACTTCAACCTTATGGATTACAAAATGTTTCTACTGATTCAGTTTTACAGTCATTTAAACAGGTTTTGAAATCAATTGCAGATGATTTGGTAAAGAAAGTTCAAGTTTGTCAAAAATGTGTACAAGTTCTTTTAAGAGTGCCACCCTGTGAAAATAACTTATTTAATACTGATTTTTTTTTGTTTACAAAACTTTCTTCACGAAATGGAAACTGTTTTTTATAACGCAAATAAATCTTTACTAAAAAATTATTATATAACAAATTATAAAAGTAATAAAAAACGAATGAAATTTTACATTTCTTTATAATGAACATGTTAATCATGCTTTTTATTTAGACGATTTTTTATCAGAAACTTTGTTTATATAGAGTATTTTATTTTATAAGGTTTTATATTCGAGATCTGGTGCAACGAAACAAGGCATGTAAAAAAAAGACAGCTCGCATTATCCATGCTTGATTTTATTTTAAAGATTTTGAAATGTTCTTATTTATAATCTTTTATTCTTATTTATTAAAACTTCTTATTTATAATTGTTGTTTTTTCTCTCGGTATTATTAGTTAAATAATAACTATCTAACTAAAAACATATTTAAACTAATATATGTTATATGTTTCCATTAATATGTAACAAATACAGTGATATCATAAATAAAAAAAGACTTATGCAAAACATGTTAAATTTATAACAAATTTTAACTGCGTCAACATATCAATGTTAGATGATTTATAAATGTTATATAATCAATTTTGCGATATATTTTTAAAACTATTTTAATTTATTAAAGAAAAGTTTTTTTATGGGAAGCCCTCTGATAAGAATAATGCAAAAATTTTTATTTTTCACTAAAAGTTGCGCAGTTATGATTATTTGGTCCCATAAGACATCCCATAGTGGTTTGCGGCTAAAATTACATATATCTATCGGGAGTTAACTGGCATTGTTCTGCATCAAGATCCGCTATGCATTTATATACATTATACTATAATTAAAATAACAATAGTTACAATTGCTATATTAAAGAGAAAAATATTTTTAATAAAAATTTTATCAGGGTTATATTTATTACCGGCGGAGAAGAAACCATGTATTTTCCCAAATAATTATTCTAGATTGTTTTTTGGAGGGGGAGGGTGGTGGTTTCGATACATACTTTCCAAAAAGAAATTTATAACTTTTTGTTTAAAAAATTTATAACTTTTTATTTAAAAAATTTATAACTTTTTACTTAAAAATTTTATAACTTTTTTTAAATAAATCCTAATTCAAAAAAAGAAACTTTTGTAAAATTGAAGTCGTTGAACTTCTTAACGGCGCATATGATTCCGTATTAACTTTAACAACGCACAAGACTTTAATATGTTAAAGCTAACTTTTATGCTATCTTGACATTAACTTTTTCATTACCTAATTCTGATTTTCAATAAATAAAAGTTATTAGCTATTTATGTAAACATCTGGTTTATGAATTAACCCAAAATATTATATTTGACAAGATTCTGGCACGTTAGCTGGATTTGTTTTTTTGGTACAAGCGGTATCTTTTGCGCTAGCCTGTGGCTGATTGAGCATAGTGCAATAAGATACAATCAGACCACCATTTCATCAATGAGCACCATTATCATCGAAGTGATGTTCCAATAAATGAACGATCACTACACTAGTTGAGATAAAAAGCTGACCTTGGATTCTGATAGAAAGCTGACCTTGGATTCTGATAGAAAACTAAAGAAAGTCAAATAGATCATCAAGCTTTTGAAGAAGAAAAAAATTATTAAAAAAAAATTATTAAAATCTGAAAAAAAACTCATTAAGGTATGAAAGAAAACTGAAAATTCAATTAAACTTAAACTTTCCTATTATAAATTCTGCTTTCATCTAATTTTTTGAAAAGGTATAACCGTATTAAACCCGGTTAAATTAGTAAGTATTTTTTGCACTTGGCAAGTTAATGCAACCTTACCATATCATCAACGCTTCTAAATGATAATAATTCGATTGCAAAAGATAAAAGAGAGTATACCTATATATTCATAATTTTTAAACACAACACATAATGCAACTCCATGTTTATAAATAAGCATTACAAAATACAAATTAATTACACATTTTTTTACAAAATTTACAAAATTCAAATTTTAACACATTTTTTTTATGTTACGTCATGAGTAACAACTAATATTAACTAACTATTAAAATTACTGAAATAATAAAAATATTGAAAATACAATAGTTGAATGAAACTTTTTTTAAACTAAATTAAAACTCTTTTTTAAAATGTAACTTACTTTTAACTCGATTTTGTTTAATTTAAATTTAAATAAGTAATCGAAAGTAGTTTTAAGTTTATGTAAAAAACTAAAAAAAATATGTTTAGTTAGAACAAGTACAATATGATATAATAGTATTACATAAAACATTTTTTAATAATCTAATAATGGCACTTTCACCTGGACCCACTACCAATATTTTGTACAACTATTGTGCAATCGTACAACACTTCACATCACTAAATGTCGCCTACGATTTATACCAATACATTTTATGCACCATAACATGACACTATTATATGTCTATTTTAAATAATCGGTATCATAATAATACACACCATAATCATTATCTAGAATCCATTTTCTATTAACAGAAATATGATCAACATCACAACAACCAAAAGCTTCCTTACTTTGTTGATTACAACAGACCCATCTTCCTTCTATAATTGTACCTCCTACATAATAAGCTGAATGTTTTTTACACCCAGTTAAACATGTATCATCATAGCTTTTATTACATCTTGTACATTTTTGGAATCTTTCTAACTTTTTAATTTCAGCAATTTCATCAAGAGCATCATTTAGTAAAGCTTTCAGGTCTGAAATCTCTTCAGTTAGCTCATAATCATCAAAATCTGGCTGAGCATTACCCAATTCTCTAATAGCATGTTGTAAGCAAAATATTCTAGGTACTCCATTATGTAAAATACCCATTTCATTTGTATCTTTTAAATCAAATTTAGGACTTGCATTAAAATAGGGTTCTATCCAGTCAACAACTTTTATATTTTGGTCAACTAAAACAAAAATAAATGCCTTGCCTAATGCAACGGCATAACAAAACTCTAGCTTACAATTAACTGATTTTTGATAACTATCTGATAAAAAGACAATAACTACTTTAGATGATTGTATAGCAGTTGCCATGGCATCATTTAGGTTTCCTATCATTCCTCCTGATATATCAAACCAAATAGATATATTTGCCATATACAAATTACAATATACTGCTCTTACTAATTCTTGAAAATTCCATTGATAAGATATCATACAGTCAAAATTTTGCTTAATTGGAATGCCGTGTTTATCAAAAAGTTGCTTTGGTGGCACAAATGATGATTCCATAACTTCGTAATGAATAAAAGTATACTGCTTGGTTGAACAGGGTTCAGATAATTTAACATAAATAGGTTTTTTTTCAATGATTTCTCTTGGTTTATGTTTTGATGGAGGCCATTTTCCCAGTTTTATTTTGCATTGTTCTATTTGTAATTGCAGTGACTCAATTGTAACTTTTTCTTTTTCACTTTGAGATAAAAGTGGTTCGTTTGCAACCAGAATAGCCTTCATTAGCTCATTCATAGGTGTTGAATAATTTTTACTTGTATAAGCTTGCTCTTTATTGAATATACTATAAAATAACTTACCAGCTATAATTAGACCGAGCCAGTCTTCTGGCTTCCATGTTGTAGTTGTGCATATTGGAATAATTGGTTTATTAAACGATCTTGCTGCTTCAACAATAGCTTTTGAATTATAACTCTTCTCATATTCCTCAGTCATTAAAACTAATACAACTCTTACTGTTTTGACACTTGATTCATATGTCGAAGAATCCTCAGTTACATAGCTTATATTTCTAAGTGCTAACTCATCTTGAATGATGTTTAAAATTTCTTGACATTTAATTGAATTAAACGAAACTAATATGTTTGAATTATTTTCAAGATAATTTAGATTTATGACTGGATATAATTCATTGCTAAATTCAAATGGATTTTGAATGATTTTTTTGGTTGATTCATTTTGTACCATTTCTAAAAAGGATGGTTCATTTTTATTTAGGTCCAGGATTATCTTATCTAAGCCATAAAAAACATTCTCTTCCTTGATATTAATAAGGCCTAAGCTAGACCCAGCTGAAATCGCGCCTAGCCCACCAAATGGTGTGTAATTATCAAAAATATTCAATGCATAAATAGGTTTTTTGACATCTTTAGCGTAGTTTATTAATTCCATGCAGGGAACTGATTTTTGATAACTGGGACTTGTTAAAACTAAAAATGCATCAGCAACTTTAACAAACTTACATCTGATTGACAAATTTTCTGGACAACCTTCGGTCATTTCTGCAATGTTCAACATATTTTTATTTAAATAATCATTTATCTTTAATGTTTTTAATTGTAACGAAGAATGAAATGAAAGAATAATGTTTTTCATTATGTTCTTAATTAAATGTTTTCCTTTTTCAAATTATTCTAACGCAATTCAAAAAAATACTTTGCTAACTTAATTCAGAAAATTGTTTTATTTTTTTTTTGCTGAAAAACTCAATTATCTATATAATCTAATTTTGAATACGATTCAAATTGTAAATATTATTTATTTTTAAATTTAAATCATTTATTTTTATCTCCGTAAAAAAAGTGGTCTCCCGTTTTTTATCTCAAATACCACCCACCACCCTCTCCAATTTTATTAACTTTTTTCGCTGATCATTTTTAAACTTTTTAGTAAGTAGTTGTAGTAAATTTTTATTTTCTTTCGATGACAGCTAGACAGCTATGCATTTAAAGAATGTTCTATTATCCTTTATAGTTTTTTCTTTTTGCGCTTCTTTGTAATTTATTTTATTTGATTTTAGTATCCGGTCTTACTTCCGCTGCTCGAAGTTTTAATATATTTAACTTTTTAATTTTTTTGTATTTTTTTTATTTTATATTTATTTGTGTCTTATTTTTATTTTATTTTTTATTTTTATCTTTTTCTCTCTGTATTTGTAATTCTTTATTGTACAGAATGGCTCCAGAGTCACAAAATCTTTTTTTACTATATGTATTTTTTTTTTTTTTTTTTTTTTAATTTTCCGTTTTTGTTACAATTAAATTCCGTAATATAATACAAGATACTCTTGTTCTTTCAAAAATAAACCAGTTATAAATATAAAAAATCAAGGACAAAATAATAATAGTTAGTTATACAAAAATAAATAAAAACGCGGGAAACTTGCAGAAGACCATTAAGTCTTATCATCAAGAACCGTTGTAATAATTATGTTTTTACAATATTAAATTCTACAAAATTAAATAATAGTGTTAAAAGCAAACCTTAATTAACTAAGGTAAATAGTGTTAAAACCAAAAACTTTTTAATGTAAAAAGACAAAAACAAAAAAATTCAAACAAACAAACAAAAAACAAAGCAGTTTAAAAGAAATCATTAATAAGATTTGTATACTTTGAAATATTCTTTTTTATTAGTTTTTGAAAGCAATTTATATTGTTTACACATAATTACTATATTTTGCTAAGATTTTACTCCAGATATGCGGAGCACTATACGTAATTTTAAATTGCTCTTGTTTAGTTTTGCACAATGGTTCAATTAAGCCTGTTGTGCGTAAAGTATATTTAATGCTAGGTTTTATTTCATAAAGATCATTAAAAATTGAGGGGCATTATTTGATACTTTTATTTTTAAAAGACCTTCATTGTTTACTTGGATAAGTTCGTTTAAAGCAGGATGGCATTTTCCTTTAACAACTGATTCAATTATTTTCAGTGCATGATCCATTCTTCGATCCGCTAGTGCTTTAAGACCCAGTTCTTTAACTAATGGTGCAGCATGGGAATTTCGTGGTGCATGGGAAATAATTCTCGAGGCTTGTTATTGTGCTACATCTATTTTTTTTATGTTTTAGAAAAATAGAGTGAGCTAATAAATTCCATATGACTAAGCACCATTCCGTTGTAGACCAACTTTAATAACTTTTTTGGTAGGCTTGCTGATGGTCTTGCCGACATTCCAAGAAAAGAGTGGCATTTTTTTATTACCGATTAGTGTTTAAAGGTTAGATGCTGGTCTAATGTTATTCTTAATAATTTTACATTGTTTTCAGGCTTTATTGTTATTTCATCTAATAGAATTTGGTAGTCAGCAGGTATTTGCTTCATGGGTGTTTTGAAAATAATTAAATGGGTCTTATTTGTGTTTATAGTCAACTTCATTTTTTCACAATAATCTTTTGTATCATGGAACAACTTTTTTAATTTTTCTGCAATTACTTGAAGTGATAGGTCGGCTTCAGATGTCGTTATATTGTCAGCAAACTAATATATTTCTGATTTTAAAGAAGTTGGAAGTTCTCTTGTGTAAGAGCTGAATAATTCGGGGCTGAGTCCACCTCCTTGTGGGACACTCTTGGTGATTGGTTTCCATGAACTAAATTTTTTACCATTCTTAACCCTTTGTATTCTATTATCGAGATAATTCGAAAACCATTGTCCTGCTTCGACTCGTTCATTTAAAAGTTCGTGATGTGGTACGCTATCAAAGGCTTTTGATAATTCTATTAATATAGCACCTACATATTTACCATCGTCAATAAATTTATACCAAGAATTTGTAGCTGTGAGTATGGCCGTTTCAAGTTCCGAGAATTTTCTGAATCCAAATTGTTGTTTTGGAATAAGTTGATACTTATCATTAAAACTTGAAGGTTGTATGGCTACCAATTTTCAAAAAGCCTACCGAATATAGGCAATATAGAAATTGGTCGATAGTTAGCTGCGTTGTTTTTACTACCTTTTCCTTTCCATATTGGGGAATATGAGCTTTTTTCCATATTGATGGAAAAACTCTATTTTCTAAAGACTTGTTAAAAATTTGAGTGAGATTATAAGAGATCGATTTTGAAATTTTTTTGACCAAAGATGCTTGAATATCATCATAACTAGAGGCTGAATTTGTTTTTAAGACATTTAGTAGTTTTTCTATTTAACTTATCTTTATTTTTTCAAATTGGAAGGAATTAAGAATATCACATCAAGTTGGTCATTCTAGTATTTTTTTTTTTCAGGTTGATGTAATACTGAAGCAAAATATTCATTTAATTTGTTCAACGTTATTATTTTTTCATTTATCTGGTTTGTTCCTTTGCTAGTAAAAGTAACTTTTTTTTTATGAGTTAGTTAAACTAACTAAGAGGCATTTACAAGTTTTTACTTGTAAATGCCACTTCTCCTTTTTCTTTTTCCTTTTTTCATATTTAACTTCTAATTTGTTTTTTTAGGGTTTTATAATCATGGTATTGGATTTCTGAGAGCTTGTTTTGGTTAAATTTTCTAGTCATATATTTTCTCTTTTCAATGAGTTCTTTTATTTCATTGTCTATCCATGATAAACTTTTTTTTCTGTAGGGATAACTTTTATATGGGGCAAATTCATTTAAAATTTTAATGAGTTTTTCATACCAGTAGCACGTTGTTTGTTCAACATCCAAATGAAAATCTAGTTGAATTTCTATAAGTTTTTTATTTAATTCTTCAAAGTCAACTTTTTTGAAGGATCTTTTTATGACTGGCTCTATTTTATTTATTGTCCAAGAAGTGCTTATTTCGATTTTAACAGGAAAATGATTGCTTGGTGATGTGTCATTCACTAAATATTCGAGTACTTGAAGTTGTTTATCTACAGCAATTATATCTAAGCATGTTGAGGTTGTTTTGGTTGCTCTGGTTGGTTGTATATTGTCCTCTTTTATAGCCGCTAGTTTAAGTGAGTTTATTAGAGTTTTGCCTGGATTTACATCTGGTTTTAATAGGTCTGCGTTGAGGTCACTTTGAGAAGATGATTTTTTATGATATCTAATAATAAATTATTGAAATATCCCCACCATCGTTTTTTTGATTTTGGTGGTCCATAAATATTGAGAATAATCAATGTCTTTTGCTTTTTTCAATTTTCATTTCCACTGCTGTGAATTCTTGTTTTAAATATTTATCATAGAATTTTGTATTTTCATCTAATTCAAAAGTTTTTTTGAAATAGGTTAATATTTCTCTTCCATTTTTATTTCTGTCTTTTCTTATTATTTTATATTCTGGAATGTTTAATGAGTGATTTGTTTCTTTTTTGTCAATTTTAGTTTCAATTAGTGGGATAATATCAATTGGGAACATAATACTGAAATTCATTTCAATTTGTTCTTAACCCATTTATATTCCAAGTCGTTAGTCACAGCCAGTTGTTACAAGTAAAAATTTTATTGTTGTTTTGTTTAGTTTTATATTTTGTACTTCTCATTGTACTCTCAACTTTGAAGATATGAGGTGCATTTTTTTAGAGCTTGTCTGTTCTAGTTTTTTTGATGGTGTTATCGTTTGCTGTTCAAGTATCAACTTTTGTCTCAATTTCTGCTTCTTTGTTGTCTTCAAGATGTTTGTTGTTTTGATTTGTTGGATTTATTCGTTTAATTTCAGTTGTTTTCATATTTTTTTATAGTTGTTTGTTGTCTTAGTTTTTTAAATTTTGTTTTATTTTTAGTTTGTTTTCTATTTCCATGTTTCTTTCCAGTAGTTAGCTGTTTATTTTTTTTTTGGAAGATTTTGTTCGCTATTTCTTAATATTATTTGTCCGTTTTTGATCATATAAAAGTCTTTTTCTTTGAAGGTTAACTCCTGTCTAAGTTTTTTTTCATCTTCTAACTGTTTTTTTGTTAGGTTTGGTCGAATATATCTTATCCTTTATATTGTTCATACTATTATTACTTTCTTTTCCATTTAGGTATTTCCACATTTGTAACAATGTTCTTCTAGTTACTCTGTTTGAAATTGTAAGACATAATAGTTTTTGTTGGTTAGGTTATTGTTATTCTTGTTTAATTTGCCAGTTTCATTTGTGTTGCATGGGATGTCTTTTCCTATTCTTACAGCTTTAAGTATATCTGTTGTTTTAATTGGAATGTAAAAGGCGTGTTTGTTGTTGGCATAGTAAATAAAATCCTCAATATCGTTATTTTTTTTTTTATATATGTATGTATATATTTTATTCGTCATTATTAATATAAATTTGTACAACATTTTACCGTAAAATATATGACTGGAGCAAGTAGAAGACAATAGTCTTATCATCTTGCCCCATTTTTGTAGTTGACAAAATATAAAAAATTATAAACCAAAACATACACTCAAGGGGAGTGTATGTTTTATTGTAAAATAAGGCTTGTTTACGGTTTTTTTGATAGCAACTGAATCATTTTAAATTTTTATTTTTAATAAAAATTATAAAGTTTGTATAGAATAATTATAAAGTTTGTATAGAAGGATCTTGTGATCCACTGTATCGAAATCCTTTGAAAGGTCGATAAATACTTCAAGGGTGTATTTTTTTGTCAAAGCCACTTGAAACTTCGTTAACTAATTTTATTACAGCGTGTTCAGTTGAGTTGCCTTTTTAAATCCGTATTGGTTATTGTAGAAGATGTTATGATTTTGAAGGTATGTAAAGAGTCTATTATACATTGTGCGCTTCAATATTTTTTGAAAAGCACGGGAGTATGGAGATGGGTCTATAGTTAGATAAAGTCA